AAATTAAGGACAACCCTAAACCCTAAAGTTTGGGATGTTCCCCCCTAGAATAACAGCCCTTGATAGGGATTATAGTACCCCCCTACTAGAACCCCTACTAAGGACTGTAAGTACAGGAAAACATCCCAACCTAAACCCAACATATCCCTTATCCGTGGACTGCGGGCCTCCGTCTCGAAGATCTTGAAGCATGGGATCGTCCCATCGATGATCTGCGAGAAAACGTTGTCATCGCCTTTTTGGGATTAAGCGTTTTTTTGCGGGTATGAATGACGCGAACTAACACTTGGCTGGCGAATCCAAGCACGCAAGATCGGAGTTGTTGACCGGTCTAAGTTGGTGGGGAGTTCATCGGGCATTGAAGAGTTTGCCCCAGTTGGGACGGAATTTGCGGTCTACGAATGGTGCCGGAGTAATGGCTGGGACTTACGCTGCACTGCACGACTTAAACCCTAAACCCTACACCCTAAATAGTGGCATCGTATGCTCTGTACGAGGGTCGCGACTCCGGACATTCTAGTCCCCCTCTCCCTCGCGCCCTCCCCCCTTCGCCGCTCCATCCTAGCCCACCCCACCCCCATCCCTCGCGATGACCACACCCAAATCCTACTGCCCTTTCACCCGAAACACCGCATGAGATGCTAAATGCCCCATACAAAGTCCCAAAACATGCACAGTTGGAGGTGCCACCGAACTCACTGGGGGCCGCACTGTAGTTGTTCGTGGCGGCTACCTCAGGACAGGAACCCAGGGAGCCTATTACCCTTTTAAATAAGGTACAGGTTAAGGCACAGGCCTTAAAACGGACAGGGATGTTTTTGTTTCTTTTTAATGGTGTTCGGTATCTTCCTTGTCAAAGGGGCTTGGGCTCTTTGGGAAGCTTAGGTAGGGGGCCTAGAAGCTAAGAACCCTAAACCCTAAACCCTAAACCCTAAACCCTTAACCCACCGAACCATGGAGCGAAAGCTACAGTATCGGTCTGTCAGTCTCTGGGTTTGTATGCACACGTCCATCTGCTGGCATGAGCACGCGCATACATTACGTACGTACGTACATCCATCCATCCATAAACCCTTATGTAAATAATATATATATATGTATATATATATATATATATATTTTTTTTTGTTATATGTATATACATACATGCAAGAATAGACCGAGACAGAGAACGAGAGACAAAATACAGAAAGAGAAAGAGAGAGAGAGAGAGAGAGAGAGAGAGAGAGCGAGCGAGAAAGACAGTTAACCCTCAAACGCCCAAGCCCCACAACCCTAAACCCCTCAAAACCCTGAAGCACCCCAAGCAAAAAAACCCTCAAACCCCTAAAACCCGAAAACCCTCAACCCTTAAACCCAAAACCCTATAATTGCAACAAAACCGCCCAAAAAAACCCAAACCCGAAACCCTAAAACCTGATTAAACCCTAAAACGCTAAAACCCTCAAAACCCATAAATCCCTGGAATTGCCCCAAAACCCAAAACCTTCAAAACCCCCAACCGCGAGCCTTCTCATTCAAGACGGCAACACCAGGCCTCGAACAAAAGTCTTTTCCCGGGGTTCCCGAAGGGGTTTAGGGGTTTAGGGTTTTTGGGTTTTTTTTTTTTTTTTTTGGGGGGGGGGGGGGGTTTTGGGGGTTTTTGGTTTCTTTGGGGTTTTGAGGGTTTGATTTTGGGGTTTTGGGTGTTTCTCTTGAAGGGTTCCTAAGGGGTTTTGGGGTTTGGGGTTTTAGGCTTGTTGATGTTTCTTGGCTTCGGGGTTTCCAGTGTGTGGGTTAGGGCCGGTTAGGGTTCAGGTTTTTGGTGAGGCTTTTGGGCTTGCACGTTGTGGGTTGGGGGTGCGGTTCAGGGTTCAGGGTTCAGGGTTTTAAGCCCAGAACGTGTTTACCCCCCCCCCCCCCCCCGCCGAGTAAGGAACTATGTAGTTATAGGTCTATTCCTTAACTACGGGGTATTGGGCTCTTGGGGCACAGCTTGCATCCCCCCTTGCCGCAAAAACGCGCGTGCAAATACCTCTAGAAAACGCGCGCTTTTGAAGGAAGCACGTCATATATATATATATATATGTATGTATATATACATATATGTACACATACATACATACATACGTACATACATACATACTTACATACTAACAGAAAACTTGACGAAAGTCTCGAGAACAGACCGCGTACGGGTTTCAGGGGCGGCGGGTTGTTTCAGGGGTATTGGGCTCTTTGGGTAAACCCTAAGGCAGAAACCTTAGATTTGGTGTTTCTAGGGTGTTGTTGAAGGTTTCAGAGTTTGGGGATTTAGTGCTAGGAGGTCTTTTGGTTTGAGGGCTTTCTAGGATTTAGGGTTAGGTTAAAGATATGAGGTTGTAGAGTTCAGGGTTCAGCGCGAAAGTTTTTTAGGGTTGCAAGGTTTAGGGGGGGGGGGGGCGGAGTGCTTGCTTGAGTGGCCCTCATAACCCTCATATGTTTACTGTGTTAGAGGTAGGGTGCGCTCTCAAAAATTAAAGCCCAACACATCCCTAAACCCAGCAACTGAAACTAATAGACTAACTAGATCCTGCTACTGTCGTACTCCAGCCAAAAGCTCTGAACTCTCCTAACCCCTAAACCCTCAACCCTAAACCCGAAGCCCAAAACCCGGCTGAGGTCCCTGGCAGCTCCTTCCCCTCGAGCAGCTCAAGCGAGGCGCCACCACCGGTGCTGCAGTGGCTGACCTCCACGTTCCCAAAGAGCCGAATGCCCATTAATTGAGGAACATACCCTAAATTGTAACGCGATCCTAAATATGATTTAATTCAGGTGTACTCCTTAATTAAGGGGTGTTGGGCTCTTTGGGCTTATGATTTGAAAGCCTTGCCCTGGTGCACAGTAGGGTTCAGGGAGGAACGGCTTAGGTTTCTGAAGTTTAAGGCAACAGGTTTTGGGGTTCATGCCGTATGGGGTTTAGGGTTTAGGGTTTAGTGTTTGGGGATTAGGGTTTGGGGTTTGGGGCTTAATTACGGCTTAGGGCTGAGGGTTTGGAAGTTTCCGGGTTGATGTCTAGGGGTTCGGAGTTTAGTGTTTGGTGTTCTTGGGAGCCTCAGGCTACAAACTTCAGGGGTTCGGGCCCTGCCAAAGCCCACACGTGCAGGCACGCCCTTCTAGGAGTTGGGGGTTTAGGGCTTGGGGTTTTGGGTCTAGGGTTTAGGGCTTAGCCGCCTTGCTCTCGGTGTCGTACTTCTTGCAGCACGTGGCCGTATCGCCCCCACCAATAATGGTGGTCGTGCCTCCACGCTTCAGGTCGACGAGGCTAGGAAGTTGACTCGATCCAAGACTAACCTATCATAGATTCCCTACAGCCCCCCCTCTACACTACCCCCCTAGGTTCCTCCCTTAAACAACCTTAATTAGGCTTACCTATCCCTAAATAGCCAAAAGAGGGGCACAAATACAATGGGTGCCCTTTGTGGTTTCTTAGATGGCCCTTGAAACCCTTTGGAAAATGTTCCTAACATCTCTTAAGCCCAAGAAGGGAACATGTGAAATATTTCAAAGGCCTTCCTAAAGGAACCCAAAGATCCCAGCACGCTCTGATTCAGGACTATACCCTTAAATTTCATAGGGATCCTGATTATGATTACATGTGTACTCTCGAGTTACATAGGGATCCTTACTATGAGTCAAGATTCAAGGTATACTCAGTCCCTTAGTTAAGGGGTGCGATGACTCAGAATCAGAGTTGGTGCAGTCTCATACTTGGAGGTTCATGGTACTTATAACCCAGCTATAATTGTGCTGATAACCCACTTATAAGCCCCTTTTAAGTGCCCTAACATGGTTATAAGTTATAATTGGGTGATAAGTACAGCTGTACTTGGGTGAATAAGTACTTCTTGTTTATGGCTGAGGGGGGGGCGGGGGTGCGAGGGGCGGGGGGGGGGGGGGGGTGGGTGGGGAAGGTGCGGGGCGGGCGCGGGGGGGGGGGGGGGGGGGTGGCGGCAATAAGTGGATAGCTCTCTCAATCAGGAAGCCTTGTCTGTGTCTTTGCTGCTGCTACTCATGCTTTTATGATTAGCTAGCATACTCGATACAATATGACAATGTGCTACCCAAAGGAACTACACTTGCGGGCCCAAGTCATCTGGGTAGTTTCCAAAAGTAGGGTCCGGCTCCCAGTGCGCAAGAACCAGTGTCACACTTGCAGCAAGGCCTCCCAAAACCGACCCTTCTTTTTTGCTTTGCATGAATGCCGCCAAGTCAGAGCAGAGCGGGCTTATCTCAATGGGCAAAGATAAACTGGTCAGACAACCCTACTCGCCGGGCTGATGAACGCAAGTAAGAGGTTCAAGCGTTGCTGCGCGGTCAGCAACATGCCCCCTTGCGGTATCAACCAACTGCCATAGACCCATTGGCAACCCCCGGAGCAGGGAGAACCCAGCTGTGCGTCTTAGAGCGCCTCCTAAGAAGCCACTTGGGGGGTTTCTAACATTAGGGTTTAGGGTTTAGGGTTTAGGGGTTACCCTTGTTCCAGGATCCTATAGGGTTATTGTAGTGTCGGGGGGGTACATTTACGGGACCCCGCTTTTCGGGAATCCTCCCCCACCCCCAACCCCGCCCACGTCCCCAATTAAAAAAACAAAAAACTGCCCTAAGTGGTATAGGGTTTAGGGTTTAGCGTTTAGAGTTCAGGTAGTAGCAGCTACCCTTAATCAGTAGGTATGACCCATAAAACTGCGTAAATAGGGTCCCAGGTAGGGCTTAGGTTGCTATACTGAACTTGGAACCCTCGCAAAAATGTTAATTTTAGCTGCTTCTTAGAGATTAAAGTGCCCAAAAAACAGAAATTATTTCCAAGTACCCCTGAGGTTTACCCAAAGGCTCCTATGTAGTACCTTTTTGGGGTAATTTACTAGTATTCCCTATAACGAACCCAAAAAGGAACTACATTGGAGGCTTTGGGTAGGGTGGCGGGCGCACCGCGCTTCGTCGCCGCCACGACTTCATCCATCAGCGCTTTCGTGCCGGCTTCGAAACCTCGGGGGGGGATGGATCCAACTGATGCGCCCCTTAAGCCCTAGAACTTGTAAACCCTAAACCCTAAACCCTACACCCTTGACCCTTAAACCATATAAACCCTAAACCCCAAACCCGAAACCCTAAACCCTAAGCCCTAAACCCTAAACCCTGAACCTTGTCTTGGGGGGGCGTCTTACTTGGAAGCCCTTATTATAATATGGTTACTGGACTACCAGGTATAAAGGTGGAAGCTCTTTTGACTTAGTAAGTAGGCTTACTAAGGTGGGGTTACGGGGATTCTAAGAGGGTTTCTAGGGGATACGAAGTAGACTTACTAAGTCAGAAGAGCTTCCAAGTAGGGTAGCTACATGGTCCCTTAGTAGGGGCCCTTAAACGGGTAGCCCTTATATACCCCTTATATACCCTATACAAATTAAGGGCCCATACATCAAAACCCTCTAGAGGAGGTAAGGGACGATATTAAGGGCCCATGCAACTACGCTTAGAGGGGGCGGGGGGGACCAGGATGTGCAAATTAGGCCTTATGATAGCCATAATCAACGCGATAAAGGGGCCTTTTTGAGGGGGTTATAGGGTATAAGGGCCCATCTCTTGATCTCTAACAACAACGTAAGAAGTACCTATCATGACTAGCAACATGGCACCTTGTATGAGTATCAGTGTATGGGAGGCGGGGGCGGGGGGGGGGGGGGGGGGGGGGGAATTGTTCGAGTGGCCCTTATTAAAGGTCCTCTTGCGCTCTGCCCCTGCGCTCTTGCGTCAAGGCAGATTGTGCCTTATAGTTCTAGTTTGAAGGCTATCGAAAAAGGGGTTAGGCTTGTGATCTGGTCGCAGCTTTATATTGTTGAGGGCAAGGATTGCTGATGACGATGAGCTAAACTCCGGTGGCGTCTCTTTGGTGCCGGCTCAAGGGGAAAACTAGGAGGTATACTATTTATTATTTGTGTGCTATCTGTATCGACCAGTCCTGCAAGGACAACGTGTCATTCTGAGACGCACGTTGGGGGAAATCGAGCTTTGGATTCTGCAAGACAACTCATGGGAACCAAGCATGACAATAACATGGGCTCGCATGAAGGCGCTACCCAGACCACTGGGAGGATCCAAAAAATAGATCCCTTTAAGGATTCCCAAAAACTGACTCAATAGTAGTATAGGGTACCATTCGGGGGGGGGTTCTACTTTTTGGATCCTCCCAGGTCTGGGTATGGCGGCGATGCTCATGCGCCTGCTCTCACCGACTTCGGCACATGAGGCTTCGCCACTTACTTCGGGGACGAAACTACAGGATACCTAAGTACAAGCCTGACTCCCAATGAGGAACGACTGAGTTGAACACCTTTGCTGGCAGCTATCAGGGTTTGGGGTTTAGGGTTTAGGGTTTCGGGTTTAGGGTTTGGGGTTTAGGGTTTAAGGTTTATAAGGCTTGGCTGAGGCCCGGCACTCTCCATTTCGAAGACACCCATGGGCCCATTCCAGATGATGGTCTTTGCCTGGTCCGTGAAACGACTCCTCAAGCTCAAGCCTCTGCAGCCTTTAGTGTTTCGGTTTCGGGTTTGGATCAAGGACCCCCACACCCTAAACCCCTAAACCCTCCTAAACCCAGAACGGTCGAGAACCTCAGAACAAGTGGATCGCACGATGTGTACATGCCTCAAGATGTGAGCGGTGGTCCCACGGCAACACTAGACTCCCTTGAAAACCCTCGATAGACTCCCTAAACCCTAAACTCTCAAGTCCCTACACCCTAAACTTTATACCCTGTAGGGCTTGCGCTGGGGGGGGGGGGGGGGGTGTACCAAAATCAAAAAATCCGAAGCCCTGCGAAAGCCCTTAACCCCAAACCCTGAACCCACGTACCCTCAGAATTTACCAAAGCCAAGATCCGAAGCCCTATGACGACTCAATCGTGCCTTCTTCACCGCCTTCTTGTTCAGCGCCTGGGACTCACTTCCGCAGTCCAGGCCTTGGTAGGTTTAGGGTTTAGGGTTTATGGTTTAGGGTTTAGGGTTTAGGGTTTAGGGTGTAGGGCGTACGTGTCTAAGGTCTAGGGTGTAGGGTTAAGGGTTTGGGTTCAAAAACTGTACAGGGGGTGCAGGGGGTATAGGGGGTATGTAAGGGGGTATAGGGGGTGATAGGAGGTGTTAGGGGTGTGAGGGGGTTTCGGGTTTAGGGGGTCTGCTGGGGGGGGGGGGGGGGGGCGTGTAAAGTTCAGAGTAGGTAGGTTGGGATTTTCGGTGGAAAACCCTAAAGGGGGTCCTAGCCATATATATATATATATATGCGGAAATATATGTATATGTGTATATATATATATATATGCAGTGTTACATCAGCATACAATATCCAACAGCGAACTGCAGCAAGATAGCGCAGCAGCGCGTTGAGCACCGGTCGATTTGGCCCACAGCACGTTTGGAATGGGCCTCCGACCCTCCTCAAAATCCCAAAAAAGTGGCACAAGTAGGCAAAGCAACGAGTGCAGTCGGAAGAAATCCGGGGAGGCCACCGGCCTCAAGGATTGCGAATTCCGTTCTACGCGTGGCTCTCTCCAAGGACTTTGGGGAATCTCCTGGCAGCTGTATATAAAACAAGCCGGAATTTGGCAACACTGAACTGAAGTTGTGCAACGACTCTCCACAGACGAAGCACACAACCACTGTTGGGCACTTGCTGGGCTCGCTCCGAATGCTTTGACCCGGTGCGGAAGCCATTGCAAAAGCGCTCCCTAAGAGTCCATGTACCTTTGTCATGTAGTTTACTTGGGCCTCAAGAGGGGTTGCCATGTAGTAGCTTTCAGGCCCAAGTATACAGGTACATGGACCCTTACGGGGCTCTAGAGCTCGTGGTGGCCAGGAGCCTGCATGAGATGCACGGAGTCGACTTCCTGTGGTGTCGAGTCGGTCGGCAAGAGTACTGCGCGCTTCGTTCCCCAGCATGCCCGACCTCACACTCAGACAGCTTTTACTACAAACAGTGCTCAGGGTTTAGGGTTCTAGGGTTGAGCGGGACACCCTTCAAAGCCCTCGACCCCAAGGCCAACCACCCACAAAAAGTCAAGCGGCAGTCAGGAAGCAGCATCCAGTACTTTGGCTTGAGGTAGACGTAGCACCAGTCTTTGCAGTCCTGGGGGCTGCCAATCGGTGAGGGTTGAGAGGTTAGGGCTTAGGCAACGATGAATTTCCAATTCCTCCAAACAAGCCCGGCATTACTGAAAAGAAGGCCATAAGGAAACCATGCAATGTAATGCCTATATTATAGAAGTTCCGGTGTTTCTGGGAATCCCATGTCCTGATGGATACAAGGCTGTTCTTAGAAGAACTAACATAAATAATCCAAAAAATCCAAGGATGCATCCAGATAATAAATAGTAAAACCTAAGCCTTTACGATTACAACAGTTTTAGCTCGTGATAGAAAATGGGAGAACGATTGATTGAGTGCAAACAGCTTACTACATTACTGGGACTGTTGGGCGGTGATTTTATTCCTGCTGCTAAAATTTGGTATTATGATGCAATAAAATCATGATATACTAGCATAATATGATGGTAACATACTAACATAGTTTAGGATTACAAGAATTATGAAGATAAAGTGACTAAAAGTAAAAGGCCCCCATTGTTATGCGCTTCTTTACGATTACCAGTAGCCATCCTCTTCCATAAGAGCCCAATACCCCTTAAATAAGGAATGTAACCTTAAATCATATCAAGGATTCCTACATAATTTCAGGGATAGTCCTTATTGACGGGGTATTGGGCTCTATGGGTACACTCTAAGCCTTACACCCGAAGCAGTAACGAAGCTCAGCGGCGACCAGTTCTCCGGGGTATCCCGGTGGTCCCGGTGGTCCTCGGCTGACTTCAGAACCCCTCCGAACAGTTTAACATTTAAACCCTAAACCCTAAAAACCCTAAAAACCCTAAAAACCCTAAACCCTAAACCCTTTTAGGTTCCTTGTTGTAGCTTCTTCATCAACACAAAGGGTTGAAAGTCTCAAGCGCCGGCCAGAAGAAAGCCAAGGGTCCGGGCGGTCCGCGTGGGCCCGGGTGTCCAGGAGGTCCCCGATCTCCGCGAGTTCCCCTCGGCCCCCGCGGCCCCTTGGGCCCCGGGGGCCCGGTGGCTGGCCCACCCACGCAGAACTTGCCTTGGCTAATCTAGGAGCCTGAATACATTAGAATAGGGTTTCTGGGGGGTTGTTTGTGGTATAATACGTATAAAGGGCCATTAAGGGAATGTCATTAGTAATTCTTCCGACCCCAATACTCCTCCGGGCGTGCAGGCGCAGGCCGATGTCTGAGGGTGTCCAAGGCCAGGGGCTCAGAAATCATAGAGTCGAGGGCTTAGGGTTTGATACGATGCCTCATGCACCTCCACTTAAACTGTGGTGCAACCCTGAACTCTCAAAACCATAAACCCGGCCATAACAAAAAAAACCAGCAACTGAACCCTAAAACCCTAAACCCCTAAACCCTACGCCCTACACCCTAAACCCCCTAAACCCTGCCATACAAAAAAACCAGCAAGCGGCAATCTGGGATCAAAGGCCAGTACTTCCAATTCACGTAGATCTTGCAAAAGGCTTCGCAACCGGGCTTCGTTGCCTCAAAGCGTTTGCCCGCCCGCTGCTGAAAACACAAAACCCAAAACCCTGTGTAGTACAAAACATTGAGCCCCCGACCCTAGACCCTGGACTAGGCCCTAAACCATAACCCTAATGCGGCCCCTGGTCAGTGAAGCATCCGGGATTGCTTGCACGTCCTTCTTAAAGGCTCTTCAACCTTGACTCCTGCACCCTAAACCTTCAACCCTTTTGAGGCAGAAGCCCGCAACCCCCAGACCCAAAGCAATCAGCACCTGGAACTGCAGGAAATCCAACAAAAAAAGCCTTAAAGGAATCAAAGCTGCCAATATTAACACCTTTTTTATCACAAACCCCGAGCCTAAACACTGAGCATTTAGGAAAAATTAGGCTTGGGGTCATGTCAGCAGTCTCAGCCCCTGACACTGCCCTGCGTCAACCCTGGTGCTTCCGCTGCTTCTGGTGCTCTTGATGCCTGAGCCAACCAGGGCAAGAGAGCCGTGCAGCATGGGCGCGTTCGCGCAGGAGACAGGTGTTCTCAAGCAGCAAAGTCCGAGCCCTTGACCCCTGCCTCGACTTCCTTCTGGCCAACCATGACCACACCTTCTCCATCATCTGCCTCGGGTAGCTTGGCCTCTTGGCTGTCCCGCGTGGGAAGGAGCGATACAGCTCTTGCTGGGCCCGGTGGTCCTTGTGGTCCTGGCCGTCCCGGTGGCCCTGGCGGTCCATCGGGCCCTCGATCTCCCCTGGGACCTTTGGCTCCTACTGGTCCTCGTGGTCCTCGGGGTCCTGCCGGGCAGCCCGCAACAACGGCGGCTGCGGCTGAATTGGCCTGCTGCGTAAGGCCCTCAGCCTCAAGCAGGGTAGCAGGGTGGTCTAAACCCTCAACCCTCAACCCTCGGCCCTCAGCCCTCAGCCTCACGTCTGGTGGTAGGTGATGATTCTGTCGACCCCAGATTTCGGGTCGCTTCGAGGTGAGGAGATGGAACCAGGGATTGTGGCCGATGCGACCCGACGCATGCTCTGCCTCAAAAGTGCTTGGTCTAGCTTCTGGGGTTTAGGTTTTGATTTTTGAGTTTGGGGCTTGATTGTCGGGTTTAGGGTTATGGTCTAGGGAGTCTAGGGTTCGGAATGTGAGCAAGGAGGCCGAGAAGCACTGGGACATGAGGGTCCGCTTTCCATTGAGGGGCCCGATACCCATATGGGGGTTCACGACATTAGGAGGTACCTTATTGGGGTCCTGATTCTAAAGAAATCCTACTATCGAGGGGGTCTAGTCTATTTTCGTAAGCCCCCATATTGTAGTAAGGGTAGCCTTCTGGATTTTTGCTGAGAGTTGCAGCAAGGTCTAACCTACCTAGTAAATCAAACCTCCCAAACCGTAAGCCCACATAGGCAGCCTGAGCCCACAAGCCAAAACCCTATAACCCTAAACCTGCAGCTTTCCCTAAACCCCGAACCCAGAAATCCCAAAAACCTGAACCTCCCCAAACCCTAAAACCGTAAACCCTAAACCCCAAACTCTAAACCGTAAACCCTAAACCCTAAACTCCTAAACCCGAAACCGTTCATGAAAGACATGAGGATCAGCCCAGAGAGCCCAATACTCCTTAATTAAGGAATATACCTTAAATTACAAAGGGATCCTTTCATATGAATTAAGGAATATTCCTTCATTAAGTGGTGTTGGGCTCTTTGGGAACAAGGAAAGAAGAGCCGCACTCCGGGAGGAGACGTACAGGGGGAATATAATACAGGGGCCTTACTATCTCGTTTAGTTTTGATTATTTATTTTGTCTTTTTTTGTTGTTTGTTGGGGCGGGGGGGGTGGGGGGTTAGGGTGTCCTTGTTCATTTGCCTAGATCGACGAAGGACTTACCTAAATCGACGAAGGACTTGCCTAAATCGACGAAGGACTTGCCTAAATCGACGAAGGACTTGCCTAAATCGACGAAGGACTTGCCTAAATCGACGAAGGACTTGCCTAAATCGACGAAGGATTTGCCTAAATCGACCAAGGATCAGCCTCAATCGACGAAGGATCTGCCTAAATCAGCGAATTTGCAAGGGTTTAAATACATATAAATCAAGAAAACAAGAAAATAAACAAATATATATATATATATATATATATACATTTGTTTATTTATACATCTATTACCCAGAGAGCCCAACACCCCTCAATTCAGAACATACCTCGAAACATATAGTGATCCTTAGATATGACTTACGGCATATTCCTTATTTGAGAGGTATTGGGCTCTTTGAGAGGCATTAGGGTCTTTGGGTAAGTTCTAGAGAGCTTAGGGTGCTTGGGGCTCAGCCCCCTGACTGGAGCCAAGTGGCACTGTGGGATCTTGCCCCAATGCTGGCTCTTCAAGTGAACCAGACACCAGTCTTCGCAGCCCTTGGGTGTAAGGCTTTGGGTTAGGCTTTAGAACTTAAGGTTAAGCGCTCTCCTTGCGGCCCACATCAACAGACGACTGCTTGTGCGTGCGGGTCGGCAGTCTGGACCGTTCTGAATTAACTTTTGTCTTTGGCAATGATGCCATGCGGTGGAAAAACGATATTATGGCAGATATGTTCGTAAAACGATGCGGTCGCACGAAAACCCTAAACAACTTAGAAGATAAGAACGACACACAGACAGACATACATAGGTATGTATATGTATATACATTATACTCATATATCGGTACATTCAACATATCGGTGTACGAAAATCTTTTTGTACGATTATACAATCTACTATCAATCAAATTCTACAAGTAGTACATTCGGCATACATTCGCAATAGGTTCGGCATAGATTCAGCACAGGTACATGGCACACAAGTCGGCAAACCGAAACTGGCATACATTCAGCATAGACTCGGCATGCACTCGCACTAGATCCGGCGTGGAGTGATTCAGCACAGGCACATGCACGCAAGCCTGAACAAAAACAAAAAAGGCATAGATTCAGCATACATTCGACATACCGTCGCAGTAAGACCCGGTTAGGTTCAGCACCAGGCTCCCGGCATACCTGCTGAACTGCTGTGGCCGTGTTGAAAAGCTGGGCCCGGGACGCTGCTGGCTTCCTCTTCCTCGAACAGCGACGTAGGCGGAAGTGTTGGTGGTGGTCCTTCTGCTCCGGCTGGTCCTGGTCCCCCTTCAGGTCCGTTGTCTCCTGGGTCTCCTGGAGGTCCCTTTGGCCCCTCAGGCCCCGGATCTCCCATCGGCCCAGGTGGCCCGCGATAGCACACCGGGGCCGCCACATCACCAGCCTGCACCATGCCCATGCCAGTCCCAGATCCAGGGCAAGTATTGCCTCGGCTATTCAAGCACGACCGCCTCTGGGAAATGCGACAGACATGCCGACATCAAAAAGCCCGAAACCCGGCTATCCCTCTGCTGAGCTGGTGGGACTTTGGTCCCAAACATCTTCGATACAAACCCCAGACCCCTTCGCACTAGACCCGAGAGTAACCACGGAACAAAAAGCTTTCAGTTTGTGGTTTAGAGGGCTTCGAAGGGAACCGAAAGCCCCGAAGACAAGGGAATGAGGGCCTACTCTGGGTCCTAGTAGCCCTAAACCCGAAACCCTAAACCCTAAACCCTAAACCCTAAACCCTAAACCCTAAACCCTAAACCCTAAACCCTAAACCCTAAACCCTAAACCCTAAACCCTAAACCCTGACTGTCTAACTCTGAACTTTGCTCTGAGTGGCAGCCCCGGATCATCGGCCAGTACTTGGCCTGCACCTAGGGTTTCGGGTTTAGGGTTTAGGGTTAGGGTTTCATTGTCGTTCCCCCGTCCACTTGAAGCTCGGCTTTGACAGGGGCTTGGGGTTGAAGGTTTGCCGTGGAGAGTTGAGCGTTTAGGGTCTAGAGATGGCTGAATAGACTTACACTCCCCCTAGAACCTCAATAAACATAATATTGTTTAATATCCTCTTGGGTTTTATATGAACAAAAAATGATTCCCAAGGGGCACATCGAGACAGACCAAAAAGGCGTTCAATCCAGAAAAGCGAGAGCTCGGAGCCCCCGCAACCCTATGTAGACCCCAAATCCTCAACCCCAAGCCCTATACTTGAAGGTTCATGGTACTTACTAACCAATTATAACTGTACTTATAACCCTACTTGTAACCCTTCAATAGGGTCTTCGGATTTACCCTGTTTGCGTTCGCACACTGCACTGTGATGAACTGCTTCACATCGCTGGCCGTTTAGTAGTGCTAACTACTTGGAGGTTCAGGGCACCTCTAACCCCAGTGATAACTGCACTTATAAGCCCCCTAAGTCCTCTAAGTGCCTGATAAAAAGTAGACTTATAAATTGGGTCAGAAATAAGTATTCAGGAACCTCCAAGTACGTAGTACATGCAATGATGCTGCTCTTTGCATTTGCCGCGATGCCTACACTGCCAGCTTGCACATGGACATAGCCTCGTGCCTTCACGTAGGGTTAAGGCGTATAGGGAGGAACCCGCCCAGAAGGGACCCTTAATCTTCTTCCCCTATATAACCTATATATATATATACAGATATATCTTATATAATCCCTATAGAGCTAAGTAGCCCCGCAATCAGCATCAAAGCACCCCTATAGGTCTCCCCTAAGGTCCCTTTTAAACGTCCCGCCATTTGTGCCTTCACCTCCGGCCGTATTTGCAGAACCACTTCACAGGGTGTGACAAGATTCCCTTCATCACCCCAAGCCTTGAACCCTCAACCCTGGACCCTCAACCCTTTCAAAGATCACAAAAGAGCGAAAGCCCCAAACCCTAAACCCAAAAGAAGGTCCCAGAAAGTGAAAACCTTAAACCCTAGTTTAAAACTCCAAGCCGTGAAACAGCAAATCCTAAACCCTGAACCCTGTCAAAGGTCTTAAAAAGTGAAACCCCTAGGCCGCAAACCCTAAGCCCTGAAACCCAAAATCCCTAAAACCCTAACACCCTACAACCCTAAAACCCTAACCCTAAAACCCAAACACCCTAACACCCTAAAACCCTAAAACCCTAAAACCATAAACCCTATAAACCCTATAAACCCCAACAACCCTATACACCCAAAACCCTAAGCCCAAAAAAACCAAAACCCTAAGGCCCTTTCAAAGGCGCAACAAACCCTAAACCCTAAACCCTAAACCCTAAAACCGTAACCCTAAACCCGTAACCCGTAACCCGTAACCCTAAACCCTAAACCCCAAACCCAAAACCCAAAACCCAAAACCCTAACCCTATAAGTGAAACTACGGCTGGCGGAGGCACGTACGGCGCACACCACGCCGCGCAGCTTCCGCTCGTGGCCTTCATGGCAGCCCAAAGCCCAGGCAAGGGTTGTAGGGTTTAGGGTTTAGGGTTTAGGGTTTAGAGGTATCTCGGGCTAAGGATATAGGGCCTAGGGTTTAGGGGCATTTGTTGTGAGTTCTGCCCGCTTGCTAGCATCAAGGATTCTCACGGATGTCTCCCCCCCCCCCCTTCACTGCTCGAAAGCAAGCGAAGCTGGCGGATGGGGGAGGGAAGGTTTTGGGTTTTGGGTATAGGGTTTAGGGTTTAAGGTTTAGGGGTTAGGGTTTAAGGTTTTGGGTTTAGGATTTAAGGTTTAGGGTTTAAGGTTTAGGGTTTACGGTTTTGGGTTTAGGGCTAAGGTTTTGGGTTTAGGGTTTAAGGTTTAGGGTTTACGGTTTAGGGTTTAGGGTTTAAGGTTTAGGGTTTAAGGTTTAGGGTTTAAGGTTTAAGGTTTTGGGTTTAGGGTTTAAGGTTTAGGGTTTAAGGTTTAGGGTGTGCCGGAAATCCCAGGGCGTGTCAGATTGAAACACTGGATTGTACTGAGTGCCAACCTTCGCGCTACGTACTGCATGCTACTCAATTCATTCAAGTTCGCGTGCGAAACTTTTTGAGAGGCGAGCTTTTCCAGAAAAATAGGATTTAGGGTTCAGGGTTCAGGGTTTAGCGTACAGTGGCAGGGACGCACCCCGAAAAGTGGTCAAGGCTCAGCACGTTGAAGCTGTGTCGATGTGTGGGTCCAGCGCCAAATCCTCTAAACGCCCAACTATGGCTACAACACCCAGCATGCATCTTCCCAAGCAGAGACAGAAAGCAACACACCCACCCAGCCCCACCCAACAAGGCCCCTTGCTCGCCTCAGCCGCATGCTTGTCGGCATGGTGCAGCGACGAGGCGAGAGGCCATAGGGCGCACAGGACCCAGGACAACATTGCGACTCCTTGGAAACAGAAACATATACACAAAATTATGGATATCTCTCTCTCTCTCTCTCTTCCTGGCAAGTTGTTTTGAGACTTGCGAAGCCCGCAGAGGAAGCAGAACATCAATTTGGGTTTCTTCTAGGGCTTAGGGTGCTAGGGTGTAGGCCGTGTAGGTCTGGGGTCTAGGGGCTTAGTTACATGGTCCCTTAATATTGGCCCTTAAGAGGGGACCCCTTAGAATACCCCCTTCCTATAAAACCCAAAGGCCCATACATCAGAACCCTCTAAAGGAGGTAAGGGACCGTATTAAGGGCCCATATAACTACCCTTAGATACTTGGTAGCCCAGCAACCAAACCGTAACAAGGGCACCCTTCTTGGGTTGGTTGCTTGAGAAGAGAACCTTGAATCAACAAAACGGAAAAGGGTATCAATTGGCTACCAAGGATAGGGTCTACTTGGAGGTTCATGATACCATTATCCTAACTACAACTGTACTTACGAACATATTTGGGCACTTGAGGGGGCTTATAAGTGGGTTATGAGTGCAGTGATATTCGGTTAATGAGTAACATGAACCTCCAAGTGTCACCCTCAACACCAAACCCTAAACCCTAAACCCTAAACCATAAACCTTAAACCCTAAACCCTAAACCCTAAACGTAGGGCTTAGGGCTTAAGGGGTTAAGGGTTGGGAAAACAGCGGGGCGGGCCCCATCACCAAGCCGGCAGATCTGGAGTTGCACCGTTTAGGGTTTAGGGTTTAGGGTTTAGGGTTTAGGGTTTAGGGTTTAGGGTTTAGGGTTTAGCTACGCTCCTGGCTCCATGTTGTTGTTTTTGACCGCAGGCGTTCCATCCTAAGAGCCACCTTTGTTGCCTTAGCTCAGGAACAAACCCAAAGGGAGGGGCCAGGCCGTATACGGCAAGTGTATAGTTAGTCTCAAAATCCAGGGAAGGAGGGGCGTTGTTACTCGCTTGTTCTCTTCAGGAGCAGGAAACATCCTTCGATCAGTGCTCTTGCGGAGCATTTTGCATTAAACAACAAATTACAGATCATCTGGCACACTCGGTCCTAAATCTGAGAAATCGTGGCTTAATCCGGCTGAGGTCGAAATCTTGACGCAGAACCCTGAAAATTATCATATCGCACTCAAGGAATCCAAGCCTAACCTTTGACAGCGCCGCGAAAGTCTCCACGGGGTGCTGCAAGCCACCCGTGTCACAGCAGAACGCCCAAAAGGTGTGTCTACTTATGGCACGCTAGAGAGTCACCATGGACCGGCGTGGAACGATGCGGCCGCAGGGCGCTCAAGATTGACACTGCGTCTTCGGATACCCAGAGAGACCAGTACCACCTAACTAAGGAAAGCCTAAATCAAAATATGGTACACGGTATGTTCCTTAATTAATGGGGTATCGGGCTCTTTGGGCAAAGCCGAAGAAGCCTGTACAAAGGTCCAAAAGCTCTGGTAGTTCCACGCCGCGGGTTGTCTTTTGGGGTCATTCATCCATAGCAAAGATAGCCGCCATCCACCGGGATGCAAGCGCCATTCACCATGGCGCTCCTCTGAAGATTAATCGTTGCACAGGAATTGCAAAGTTACTGCCCCCAAGGTTTGAGACATAGTGCAAAGATACAGGTTTGGAAGGCATTGTGCTTGCTGACACCACAGTGGAACGAGACATCCATCTCCGCTGAATGACTGTGCAGTTCCTGCAAAAACCGGCTGCCCTCAAACCAAAAGATACGACGCTTGTTCGCTTGTTCTCTATCCCCAGAATGTCCCAACAGATAGTTCATTACAGCCACCCAGTGCCAACTTGATAAGTCCCCTGAAACCCTAAACCCTAAACCCTCAACCCTCGATCCTAAACCCTAAACCCTGAACACCAAACCCTAAACCTGCCCGCCACCACACTCTCTTGTCTTTTGGGGTAGGCGGGCGCTGGTCGAGCGCTCAGTGAGACCCTGCGAGAGAGCCACGCCTGCATTGGAGGGCCCCTCAGAGGGCCCCTGGAGACCTCTGGGTCCCTGACCCCCGTCCGCTGGGCTGCGGGGACCAGGGGCCGTTTTGTTGGGGCAGGCAGGGCTCTGGTCCAAAAAACTGGCCCTGCTTTCCTGCCTTGGCCCTGGCCTGGATCTGGCCCTGGCGCTGGCGCTGGCGGGGCGGTGGCCCTCCTGCTGGCTTTGCTGGCCCGGCACCCTGTCACCTTACCCCTTCGCACACCGGCTTGCTCCACACCAACCCGAACTGTCCACTCGCTTTGCGCGTTCCTTGGCCTGGCTCTGCATAATTCGCCCCTTCGAGACAGCCAAGCTGTCTGCACGATGCTGTGTGCTGTGTTCCCTGGCCCCGCGCTCCCTGGCCTTACCAGCCCCTTCGCGCCAACCCAAAGCTGTCCGCACAGTGGGCCCTGCCTCCCTGCCTTATTTGCGTCTGCGCACTGGGCAGGCAGGGCTGTTGCCTCCCTGCCCTTGTCCTGGCCCTGCTGCAGCTTTGTGCCTGGTCCACGCACCTTGTGGAGGTCCACAAAAGGGCGTGAGTGCTGACTCATGTCGATGCTTTGCAAAAATAATAAAAGAAGGTCTTAATTCCTTGAAAGTTGTAAGTGGGCGGTCTTGGGGTGGGTAGGTCTGCAGACTACCGCGCGCTCCCAAAGCGCGCTTCCGTTTGGCAACCAAAAGATACGACGCTTGTTCGCTTGTTCTCTATCCCCAGAATATCCCAACAGATAGTTCATTACAGCCACCCCGTGCCAACTTGATAAGTCCCCTGAACCCGAAACCCTAAACCCTAAACCCTAAACCCTCAACCCTTAACCCTAAACCCTAACCCTAAACCCCAAACCCTGAACACTAAACCCTAAACCCCAAACCCTAAACCCTAAACCCTAGGTCGCCTACGCTCATCCAGCAGGAAGGCCACCACACTGGCGATCTCCTCAGGCTCCGCGAAGCGGCCCAAGGGGATCTTCGAGAGCATCGCCTGGTTCAGGGTTTATAGGGTTTAGGGTTCAGGGTTCAGGGTTTAGGGTTTTGGGTTTAGGCAGACCAGCAGAAGGACCGGTTAAAGCAAGGTGAAATGAAGAGTTCGGGAGAGAAGACCCCTAAACCCCTAAACCCCTAGACCCCTAAACCCCTATCCCCCTAAACCCCTAAACCCCTAAACCCCTAAGCCCCTAAACCCCTAAACCCCTAAACCCCTAAACCCCTAAGCCCCTAAACCCCTAAACCCCTAAACCCCTAAACCCCTGAACCCCTAAACCCCTAAACCCCTAAACCCCTAAACCCTAAACCCCTAAACCCTAAACCCCTAAACCCCTAAACCCTAACCCCTAAACCCCTAAACCCCTAAACCCTAACCCCTAAACCCCTAAACCCCTAAACCCTAAACCCCTAAACCCCTAAACCCCTAAACCCCTAAACCCCTAAACCCCTAAACCCCTAAACCCTAAACCCTAAACCCCTAAACCCCCCCTAAACCCCTAACCCCTAAACCCCTAAACCCCTAAACCCCTAAACCCCCCTAAAACCCCTAAACCCCTAAGCCCCTAAACCCCTCAACCCCTAAACCTAAACCCCACACTTTGACAGCACGGGGCCCGAGGCTTCATGGTTCTGCGCTTTTTTTTGTTGTGCTGTCCGCTCTCGGGAATACCGCGTTCTGGTGAGAAAAGCCACCAACAAATTGAGGAGACCTCCTTGAAGACAAGGTTCCGGCTTTTACTAGTACAGTAACGCCCTGATGGCTGTTAGCCAAACCTGATGCCCCAGCAGCTTCGTCTGCAAAAGAACCCCCGCCCCCCCTCAGAAATGATACGATCACAATTATCATGGTGAACTGGCCATAGAGGACCTCAGAATTCCCTCTAAACTAGGGTAGGTTTGGGGGCCCTATAAACAAATCTATCGGGTTATTAAGGGTTTTACAGGGATTAGGGGTGTTGAGAAGAGTTGAAAAAATCAAATCAACCCCTGTAAGGACTCCCCAGATCTTCCGAAAGTTTCACCCCTCAAGCCGTGGCCAACGCCTGCGTTTCGGGTGCCCCGTCTGGCCAGGCGGTTTTCCCCAGTTCGGTGCCTAGACCCAGGAAAAGCCTAGGAATAAAAAGGGTGCCCTTTTTGGTTTTAAGAGGCTCAGAAAGGAACCCCAAGCCTTAAAAAACCAAAAAAAAGTGTACCCTTTAAAAAAGGGACTATAAGGGCCTACTCTGGGTCCTAGCTGCGCACCACCGTAGGCTTCACGGCGTTGCAACGAATCCCGTGGGGGCCCAGCTCCACCGCCAGGTGACGGGTGACCTGGTCGATAGCTGCTTTGCCTCAGCTGCGTGTACCCCCAAAGGATCCATGTACCTATATAGTATATACTTGGGCCTTAAAGGGGTTCCTATATAGTAGCTTTAGGGCCCAAGTATATACCATACAGGTACATGGATCCTTTGAGACCAGCCGCAGGCATGATACATATGACTTGGTTGAGTGGAGCGGATGTACCACTGTACGGAGCAACAAAATAAACAACCCTAAACCCTGAACCCTGAACCCTAAACCCCAAACCCCTAAACCCTGCAAACTCTGCTGCCCAACTGCTCACGCTGTAGGAGGTGTGCGCTGGGAAGACACGGGTCGAGCTTTGCGAGGAGACATTCACCACGGCCCCGCGCTGCTTCTCCGCAACACGGACCTGTGCCCAAAGCTGCGCCAGCCGCAAAGGAGCAGCCACGTTCACCTATATTGGGGTTTCCGAGAATAGGGGTACCCTTTTTTGGGGCTCCCTTTAAGGGGATTCTATTCTATTTGGGGTATTAGAATATGTATTAATGGGGTACCTCTATTTCGGGACATGCCCATATTGCTGCTTCGAAACAAGTTTGGCATTGAGTGGATTCAAGGGGTTCATTAGGGTTTAGGGTTTAGGGTTTAGGGTTTAGGGTTTAGGGTTTAGGGTTTAGGGTTTAGAGTACATTCTTCCTCGTTGCGCGCCTGGAAGCAACGCTGCATCTCTTCCGGACCGGTGCCCTCCAGCAGATCGGTGAAGAGCCCCAGCCCGGCGTTGTTCACCAGGCCGCTAAGGCCTCTCTCTTAGGGTTTAGGTTTAGGGTTTGGGGTTTAGGGTTTAGGGTTTGGGGTTTAGCGTTTGGGGTTTGGGGTTTGGGGTTCAGGTTCGGCCGTTTCCGCCCGGAAGGGTTCTTGCAGGTAAGCCCGGTGCACGGTTGAATTGTGTGTGTGTGTGTGTGTGCTTGTTTTTTGACCAGTCTTACTTTGTTGTTATCTGTTTTCACTAGGGTTTAGGGCTTCCGGGGGCAACCACAACACGACTCTTGCCCGTCGACGACGACTTTCCAGTCATCAAACAAGCCTTTCCTCAGATATCCATAGGACGTCTCTAGGCCCGAAAACCGGAAATGTCAAGAGGGGTCACAAACTTCGCAAGCAGCATGGCTTTGGCTACAAAAAATCGCCAGAGTCCGGTCCAGTCCACAAGATGAAGGGGAGAAGTTGGACTGCAAGCACTGAGGACTACCTCTAAACCCTAAACCCTAAACTACCCTAAACCCTAAACCTTTCCCTTGCAGCACGGTATAAGGCACCCTTGAAGCTGGTCGTTGCCTCCTGGCCCGGCTAACTGCGCTGCCTCCTGCGCAGGGCTGGTGACGGCGAGAACCTTCTAAGGTTTAGGGTTTAGGGCTTAGGGTTTGGGGTTTAGGTTTCCAAGAAACTTCTAGGGTTTAGGGTTTAGGGTTTGGGGTTTAGGTTTCCAGTGGACCTACATGGCCTCTCTCACCCCAGAGAAGTGGCCCCCCTGGTTCTAAGTAGTGAATGAGGGACCCTATTCATAATGCCTGGGATTATATAGGGTTTAGGGTTTAGGGTTTAAGGTTTAGGGTTTAGGGCCTAGGGCCGTACTATAAGAACCAGCCAGTCCTTTACCAAGGTCTGGAGGAACTCCTCATTTGTCAGATCCCCCAACGGCGCCGCCACAATCTGCGAACTGCTGCAGAGTGCCTTGATGCCCTCGCTGTTGGAGGGAACGTCTGTGACCACCACCTGCGTCAGCGGATGGCTTCGGGCCCTAAACCCTAAATCCTAAACCCTCAACCCTAAACTGCCCTAGACGACTTGTGAGAATGTGCAGTCCGGACACAGTTTAAGGTTTAGGGTTTATAGGGTTTACGACAATATGGGCCCCCGAATTTTGACCCCCGAATAGTAGGATTCCCTTCTAACAAAGACCCCAATATACGGTTTCCTCAAGTTCGGACATCCCCCAGTTGCATTCAACGGCAGCTTGCGTTGCAGCAGCTACTCCCTGCGTCCTTGTGAGGCGCTAGATTCCAGCACTCTAAACCCTAAACCCTAAACCCTAAACCTCTTGCGACCTTCCGAGAGCACCGCCTTGGCACCGTTCTTGGCCAGCTCCTCAGCAATCGCCTTCCCGATGCCACGCGCCGCGCCCGTGACCAGGATGGCGGAGCTCGGCAAGGAGGAGGGCGCGGTCGAAGCCATGATGTGATCAACTGTAGCTTGACTTCGGATCGCGGAATGGCTGCAGGCGAGCTCAAGTATGGCCTCTATCAAGAGGAGGGCTAAAGCCTAAACCCAAAACCCTAAACCCAAAACCCTAAACCCTGACCCCTCAAAGTCACCGGGTTTCTCAATGACTGCAACGCTATGCAGCTAAAGTTCGTGCATCGAGTGCCGATGGACATGATACTGTAGCGGGAGGCGTCGAACGAGGCCTTTTGCACTCCATTTACATCATGTTCCTATCTGGGGGGAACTACTCTCTCCCTAAACCCTAAACCCCAAACCCAGGGGTGTTCAGGTAGTGGCACATCTCACCAACAAACATTCCACATAGCACAACGTACAGCAGCCCTAAACCCTAAACCCTAAACCCTAAACCCTGAACCCTAAACCCTAAACCCTAAACCCTCAACCCTAAACCATCATGAACCCCCCGAAACCCAAAGGCTTCGGGGTGAAGGGCACAGTTGCGATCTAAGGGCATTTACATGGTCCCTTCATGTGGTCCCTTGGGATGTTCCCCGGTTTAGGGTTTAGGGTTTAGGGTTTAGGGTTTAGGGTTCTCATACTAACAGCTCCTGAATTGGGGTTATAACTACTAAGGACCTACTAAGGACTCTTAGAAAGCAAGTGGTCCCTTTTCCTTCTCTAAACGGTTCCGAAGTATGGCCACAACTATAACCCTAAACCCTGAACCCTAAACCCTGGGAGCCCCGAAATCCTAAACCCTAAACCCTAAACCCTAAACCCTAAACCCTAAACCCTAAACCCAGATCGGCTGCAGGTAAGTGCCGGGAGCCGGGCCCATGAACCCGTCGGGGATCCCCTGGTCCTGCCGGGGCCCCGGGATGCTCCAGGCTTGTAGGGTTTGGGGTCAAGGTTTAAGGTTTAGGGTTTAGGTTTTAGGGTTTAGGGCTACAGAGAAAAAGCTGAAAGTTAACCCCTGGAAAATTAGATGAATTTCTGATAGCCCAGAGAGGCTTACTCGACTGCTATGAAGAACTCTGTGAAACATCGTGGCACGAAACTCTTACTTCTCCAACTACAGCGTTTAAAGCAGTTGAACTTCGATACCTACAACACAGGAAACTACAAACACAAATGTTCATTTGCCAGAAGTTTCGGGTTGATCTAGGGTTGTTGCGGGGGCTTCAAAACTATCTAAGGAATAAGGCCCCCTGAAAAGGGCCATGGTGCTACACAAGCCCCCCCGTCAACCCCGCACCCCTAAACCCCACTCCAAGGAGATCTATCCCCTGAGCACCCTAAACACTAAACCCTACACTCTAAACCCTAAACCCTAAACTGTCTATCCCCTGTGCTCCTTGGTCACCGTCTTGATCTCGCCATCTTCTCCGAACTTGCTGGAGACCTCCGTCCGATTGATTTGGGGGGGGAGACTTACCCAGAGAGACCAATGCCCCTTAAATAAGGAATAGACCTTGAATTGTGAGGGGATTCTTGACATGGTTTACGGAATATGCTTTAATTGGAGCTATTGGGCTCTTTGGGTAGGGTGTGTCTTTGGGTTTTGTTTACATATTCCAGGGCTTTTTCTTCGGGCTTTTAGAGTTTTTAGGGGTCGTGGGAGGGCCAGAAGTGCTGGCAGACGCTGCGCGGTAAAGGATTCGTGATGCGAGCAAGGGCCGACTACTTGCAGGTTCATGGGCACTTATAACCCTAAGTATAACTCTACTTATAAGCCCCCTAAGTCCCCTAAGTAGGTTATATAAGTAGACTTATAACTGTGGTTATAAGTACCCATGAACCTCCAAGTAATCATGGTGTGCGGGCAGCGCGAGTTCCCGGAAGAGTGTCCTTCTTTTGCTGCGGAGTCATGGCAAGCCATTGAAATAAAGGCATTTGGAGTTTGGATGTAAATTTGGGAAGTCTCCAATGATAAAAAAGGGAAGAACTGTTTAGAAATGGAGAAACTCCTGCAAACATGAAGTGCAGTGAACCATTCGCGGATTCTAGCGGCAGGCTGCACGAAACCCCAGGCACAGGCAAAGAACATGTGCGGTGGGAAAAACAGCTCAGAAGGAAAAAGCAGTAAGCTTTCTGTTGGTCTGGTCCAAAACCAGATGACAAGTGCAAAAGCCGAGTGGCGTTCAACTTTTCAGGGAATCACATGGGCCATACTAATGTTGGAAAAACCCTAAACCCTAAAGCCTAAAGCCGAAAACCATAAACCCTAAACCCATGATCCCCAAGCCCTAAACACAAATTTAGGCCTTTTTTGTGAAACCACCCTAAACCCTAAACCCTAAACCCTAAACCCTAAACCCTAAACCCTAAACCCTTCCATGGCGAAATCCCCTGTGCGAGAAACACGCCGCAAACAGCGTCGGTGCAGCGCATCCAAGGATGCGGCAACAAAGTCGACCGGCAGGACGATTTCCACCTGGAGGTCACAATATAGTACTGTAAATACATAAATAAACAAACAAATAAATCAAATAAATAAATATATATATATATAAGAAGAAGAAGAATAATATTAGCAACAATAATAACTGTTATTAGTAATAATAAACATAAGAGTGAGAATAGTAACATTGTGATTTGAATCATTGTTGTTATTATTATATAGACCCAACGAGCTGACATGAAGGAAGGGTGTTCTGATGCTGGTGTGATATCCAAGCTGTACACGTGGAATCACCTTCTGTTCCACTGTTCAGAGCAACTTTGACTGCAACTCGCGGGGGCTCACGTCCCTACCTTCGATATTCTGCTGCCACGAACTGTATCACCTTGTGATACATGGCGCTTTGTTCGGTATACAAGCTGGGATGCGGAAGCCTTCTGTCCGGGGGCTTCGTGTTGAGAAGGTGTAGTGTAGCTGCCTATGTACTGCCCCAAACCCTAAACCCTAAACCCTAAACTACGAATTTCCTGCAATCAATCCTGGTTCATAGAGCTCACTCACACCGAGCTGTGGGTGTTGTAAGCAGCACCTCCACCAGATCAGATCCTACCTTAGCTCCACTGCCTTGTCTCCCTCAACCCTAAACCCTAAACCCTAAACCCCACGCCCTAAACCCTAAACCCCAAGCTGGAGCACCTTCTTTGTTAGCATGCTTCCCTCGAATTCATCAGGCACCCGACGCGGACCAGCTGCGCAGCAAGCAAGCAAGCAAGCAAGCAAGCAAGCAAGCAAGCAAGCGCTCATGCTATAGGCTGGCAGTGTGCCCACCGGGGCCCAGCTCTGGCCGCCCCGTGGCGATGGAGTTTGCCAGCCCATGGCTCGGTGTGGCGGCCTCCCAGCTCCAGCGACAGGGAGGCGTTCGTCCTTCCTGGAGCTCTCTTTAGCCGCCCATGTCGTAAGAAGATGGCATGGTAAGAAAACGATGTTCTATAAAAGGATACGAAAACAAAAGAGTGATAACACAAGAATCTAGAAATATAGTCATGTCATGATATGATAATATACTCATTGGGGGGGAGAGGAGCCACCGGAAGTATGGATCCCCGGAACCCCAAAGCACAGGAACCCTTTAACTAACAGAATCCCCTAAACCCTAAACCCTAAACCCTAAACCCATCTTGATGATTACTGAGTCTGAGCTTTGGGCACCTTTCTCCTTCGCCTGGCCCATGGGCGCCCGAACAAGGGGCCCGATGCGGAGTAGGGTCGTCGTCTGAGGGCTGGGTCCAGGTAGAGGCTTTTACCAAGCTGCAAGCAACTGCTGACTTCTGAACTTTATTGGGTTCAGGGTTCAGGGTTTTCCTGAGGCCTTCTCCATGATCTCGGGGACGATCTTCGCGCCTTCCTGACGACAAAGCCCACCACGAACCTACTGTAAACCCGAGAAAGCACTGAGACATCTGCGGGTCAACAACAATAGGGGACCCCCAATTCTGATCCCCAAAAAACTAGGATCCCCTCCGATTCCTTGCGAGAAAATGGCATACTTATCGTTGCCAGGTACCCCAAAAAAAGGAAGCAAAGGCGTGCCAGAGGGGTGACTCCACTGTGGGGATCCTAAGGCTCTGGCGCGCGGTGGTCTCTGTTTCGGGTTTGTAGGGGTTCGATTTTTTATTTTCAAGCGTTGAGGGTTTCGGGTTTCGGGTTGGGGGTTTAGGGCTTCAGCCCCATTCGAAGGGTAAAATAAAGAACATAGGCTACTCAGTACTCTATAGGTACTGGCCGCATCTTACTCACGTGCTTGAGTCCCCACGCCCTAAACCCTAAACCCTAAACCCAAAAACCTAAACCCTAAGCAGGCAGCCGGCAGCCTCGTCGAAGAGCGAGTTGCCAATCTGCATTTCGTCGTTCACCTTGAGGAAAGTATAGGCCTTGGCTGCATCTTCCGGTGAAGGAAGCATCATCCGGTGAAGGATGCAATTTGGGATGTTCTCCCTTATACTAACAGTCCTCAATAGGGATTGCAGTACCCCTCTGTCATAATCCCTATTAAGGGCTGTTATGTCACAATCCCTACTAAGGGCTGTTAGCATAAGGGGGAACCATCCATCCCAAGATGCACTGCTCAAACAACTTGGTAGCCCAGCCACCATGTAAAAATCAGGGTGTACCCTTTCTAGGGGTTGGTTGCTTTAGAAGGGCGTAGACAGGGCCCCGAGAAGATGAGTTGTTGGCGACACCTTCAACAGGAGTTGGCGGGCCTACTGGACAAAACGCCCGATAAACCCTAAAAGTCCTTCTCCTAAACCCTATAAAACATGGTTTCCAAAATTGGATGGCTCTGAGTCGAAGGCCATCCCACCTGCCATGCAGAGAGGGTGTGGTCGGACGTGAGGGTACGCTTCAGGTCCAGGGTCGGAAACATGGGCCCTTCTGATATTTTTGCTCGTGTACATAAGGGTAATATAGCAAGGGACCCAAACTAAGGGGATCCCCTACTTGGGCTGGGAAGAAAGGGGTTCACGAACCTCGCCCGACTCTTTGGCTTCAGACTTTCTAGAGGCTGAAGAAGATTGGAGTTTCACATATGGTCATTTCTCAAAATGATGTTCCCTTGTGGGGTCCTTATTCTATGGCGGCTCCATATGTTTGACCATAACTTCGAGAACTGACCATATGGGCGCAGCGTCACACATCCGAAGCCTCCAATAAGCGAGCACAGTACCCCTTCAAAAAGAGATAGCTTTTGAAGCATATGTGGCTCTATTGCGCACTTCAGGGATGGGCACGGGAAGTCTGGGTGCAGCCTCATGCCCATGCACAATCCATCCCATCTTAAGCAGGCTGCCGAAAACCAACGCCCCCCCCCCCCTAGCCAGACTGCCCAAACAACCACTAACCCCAACCCCCAACCCCATACCCCAAACCTCAAAGCCATTGTCATAAGCAAGGAGACTTGGCCTCCGATGATCATGATGTCGACCTGTACCGCAGGCGACAGGCTTACGCAAAAGCATGCATCCGTCTCCATGCCCTGCTGCCAGACGCAGACCCCTAAGAGGAGTTGCTTTGGTGTTTTCAGTGCAATTTCTGGGCATGGTCGCGAAAGGCATGGGCGCTTGTGACAGCTTTTGTTGTTCCACATCTTTGTGCAGTATGTTGTGCAAAGAGGCAGAAACACCGTAAACTTCAATGTGTGGGCATGTTCGGCAAAGGCATGGACGCTTGTGACAGATTTTCTCGTTCCACATCCTTGTGCAGCACGGTGTACAAAGAGGCGAAAACGCTAAACACCATTGTTTTGAGAATGCACGCAATATGAATGACGTTCTTATCCCCCCCACCACCAGCAAGAACCGCGAAAAACCGAAGGAAAACCTGAAAAAAAGGACAACCAGGGAAATTTCCGCGCGCTGGGCACCAGCCTACCCCCCGCCCCCCGCCCCCCAACACAGCCTGAATTTAGGGTTACCTGGAACGCCGTAGTTGCTGCTTTTTTGCAGCAACTATTGAAAGTGGCAGGACTTTCGCAAAAGTGGCCAGAATTCCTGTCACTGGCAAGTTAACAGTGATTGCCCATCAGAAAGTGGCGTAAAAAGGCGTAAAAGTGGCGTAAAAAAGCGTAAAGTGGCGTAAAAAAGCGTAGACAATGTATGGGTAAAACCTGCAAGTTTGCAGTGGCTGGTTTAAAGCGTCAAAAGCGGCACTTTCAATAGTTGCCACAAATTATTGGCAACTAGGCTTTCCAGGTAGTCAAGCAGAACCCCCAGTGGCCCCCGAAGCACTGATAGGCTGTGCAGTTCCTTAAAACTCCGCATGTGCCCTGGCCTAAACAGACCCTAAGCCCTGAGCAAGTAAATTATACCTGTAACTTCATCCGATGTCAAAAAAGGGCCCTGAAGGTCTGAGAGGGCTCTGATTTCGGGGTTTAGGGTGTTGGGTTTAGTGTTTAAATTCTTCCACGCCCGCACCTTGTCCAACATGTTCTTGATCAGCAAGATCTTGTCACTGACCTCACCCACGCCTAAACTCTAAGCCCCAAACCTTTAACCCTAAACCCTAAAGCCTACCTGGATTCCCCAACTGTAGTTCCGATTCCTTGGGTGCCTAATTTCAGAGTCGGGTGTAGGGTTTCGGGCTTAACCAAAGTAGAAATAGGTGCCCCCCCCCCCCCCCCCCCCCCCCACAAACAGCAAATGTAACTACAGGCCGAGGAACCAGGATGGACTAGTAGGCATTCCAGTCCTTATAAACAACCCCATAAAGGTGGGCCCCTTCGGTTCCGCCAAGAGCCTGCGCCTTCAATCTTTTTAGGACCCCTGATTGAAGTGAATGGGGTATGAGAGCCTATCCTGGTATTTCTCAAAGCACAAGACACACAAAGCTCGTGTGGCCCTGACCTGCAAATTCAGGAGCCAACACCAAACCAGACACGCTGTTTAGGGTTTAGGGTTTAGGGTTTAGGGTTTAGGGTTTAGGGTTTAGGGTTTAGGGTTTGGGGTTTGGGGTTTGGGGTTAGGGTTTAGGGATATCATCCCCAAAGCCACATACCACTTAACCCGGAGACAAACCTGTAAGCCTATGCACCCTAGTCCACAACCCTATGCTATGTGAATCCCAAAAACCTACACTCCTAGTTACCGTGAACCCTAAACCCTAAACCCTAAACCCTAAACCCCAAACCCCAAACCCGAAACCCTAAACCCTAAGCCCTAAACCCTAAACCCTGTAGCCCAAGCCCCCACCGAATTCTGCAAAGCGCTACAAACCTGTAATTGCAAACCTCGAGCCCTTTGAGCCCTATGACAGAAAGCTTCCAAACCTGGCAAACCCCTGAAGTTCTGTGAAAACCCCTAGCAACCTCAAACCCCAAAGAGCCAAAACCCAAAACCCAAAACCCCAAACCCCAAACCCCAAACCCAAAACCCAAAACCCAAAACCCAAAACCCTAACCCTAAACCTCACAAGTCCTGAACCCTAACGCCCAGCGCTCCACCTTGGCCCCGCCAAGGATGGCTAGCAGCGGCTTCCGAGGCTTGTTCAGGACCTCCAGGGTTGAGGGTTAGGGTTTAGTGTTTAGTGTTTAGGGTTTAGGGTTTAGGGTTCACGGTTCAGGGTTTGAGGTTACCGGGTGTAAAACAGGCTTGAGCGGTTTAAGGTCTAGGGGTTTAGTAGGAGTTTCGTGGGGTTCAGGGTTGAGGGCTTTAGGGTTGAGGGTGAAAAGGGTTGCGGGCCTTAGGGTTCAGGGATTTAGGAGTTTAGGAAGTTAAGAGTTGAGGGGGTTTAGCTTGCGGCTGCAAAGGGTTGAGGATCCGAGGGTTGAGGGGCCAAGGAGCGCACGGGTCGAAGGGCCCAGGGTCGACGAGGGTGTAAAGGGTTGAGGGGTTTAGGGGTTTACGTGTTCAGGAGTTTGGGAGTTTAGGGGTTGAGGGGTTAGGCTGTAGGGGTTTAGGGGTTTCGGAGTTTAGGGCTTCAAGGTTCAGGGTTCGGGGGTTGTGGTGGGGTGGACGCTGTCACGTTCGGCGTTCATTCGGCTCGGGGGTTTCGGGGTTCAGGGTTCAGGGTTTTATAGGGTTTAGGGTTTAGGGTTTAGGGCTTAGGGTTTGAGGTTTAGGGTCTAGGATAAACCCGCAACCCTAAAGCCCTGCAAAACCCCGGATGGTACCGAAACCCTAGCATCGAAGCCCCGCCCGTCGCGCCTTTCCAAAGGACGCCAGCTCCTTTCCTTGGTGGGGCGCTCATGTATTGATATACATGCATTTCGGGGTTGAGATAAACATCTACTGAAGTATGTACGGATCTATACACATTCTACGAGAACGCGAGGGAAAAACACAAAGAGAGAGAGAGAGAGAGAGAAACTCTGAATGCACGAAGCCCCAAATAGTAGGATTCCCTGCTACTAAGGACTCCAACAAGGCGCCCCTAACTTCGGACACCCCCATATGGGTGGTTGTCAAAATTGTGGTCCCTTTTTGGATCCCAATTTTAATAAGGCACCTAATAATTTGGGGTACCCCAAAAGGGATCAACCCTAAACCCTAAACCCTAAACCCTATATCCATAAGCTTCAGGGCGTAGGGCCCTGGCCCATGAGAAAGCCGGCCACTTTGGTTTCGAAGCCGTCTCCGACCATGCTGCTGTGCGCCTGACAAGTGAGCATTGCCACAATCACTTAGGGTTTAGGGTTTAGGGTTTAGGGTTTAGGGTTTACTGTTTAGGGTTTAGGGTTTAGGGTTTAGGGTTTAGGGTTGGCTGAATGCCCCAGCCCAAACAAGGTTAACCGTTTGTTTGAAACATGACTTTGTATATACATACATATATCTATATTATAGCCAAGAAGGTTATAGGTTAACTACCCAGCTCCTGGGATCAAAAAGAGAATGCCCCATCTCCCGTCACTAGCACCGCGGACAGCAACAGGCGCATGCAGCCCGAAGTTGTGAACACCTGAACAACTTCCCAAGTTTAGGGTTTAGGGTTTAGGGTTTAGGGTTTAGGGTTTAGGGTTTAGGGTATCCTAAACCCTAAACCCTAGACCCCGAACCCGGAGCCGACAGCAGTGTGGCAAGTTTCCGGAGTCTGTGGCCCAAGCCCTATGCGCTGTTCCGAAGGCGTCGTTCACATAAACGTCGCCCAGCTTGGCCTGGGGCATGGCCATGCACGGTTGAAGCGGTTTAGGGTTTAGGGTTTAGGGTTTAGGGTTTAGGGTTTGGGCTTGAGGGTTTAGGGTTTAGGGTTTGGGGTTGTGAGTCCAGTGGTGCCCTTGGTCCTGTGATCCCATGGTGCTGCGGTCTCCTGGTCCTGCTGTATCTGGTTGGAAATCATGCTGTCGCGGAGACCCCGCTGCTTTTGGCTGTTTAACCCTGCTAGCGCGCTTTTCAAGTACATCATGCTATCGCGGCGACATGCTTCAAACGCATCTTATTCTGTGGCAAGCCCGTCATACCAGCACTGCAATCTTATCCTAGCCATCATACCAGCAGCGTGTTAGCAAATGGGTGGACTGCGACCCCCATCAGCACCCCCCATTCTTTTTCGTAAACCTTGCAAGCTTGCAGGAAATGACATCATGTTGTCGCGGTGACTTGTTTCAAAACCTGTCTTATGCTTTTCCCTGCAAGTCCGTCATGCCAGCATTGTACCAGCATTGTGTTTGCACATGGGTGCACAAGCCCCCCCCCCCTGCCTCCCTTGATTAAGCCTTGCAGCTTCATCCATATTTCTTACCAGGCATTTTTCTCGGTCCCGGCGAATGCAAATTTGTTGATCCCAAATAGTTCTCATGATGCCACACTCTCAGCGGTTTTGGGGCTTAGAATTAAGATCAGGGGGTTAAGGGCTTAGGGCTTTAAGTTATCTGGCAGCACCCCTTGTGACAGACTGTTTGTCCCCGTACTTGAAAACATCCGAAGGTTTTGGCGCTTTGGGCTGTAGGGCCGTAGGGCTGTAGGGATGAATTGCTCCTTCGCGGTCTGGGTTAGGTTTGCAGGTGTTCGCGCGTCGCAGTTATTGGCGCCGCAAACACCTCATCATATAAGGCTTTTTGGGCCTAAGGGTAATAGTTTCCCCGAAACCCTAAACCTTAAACCCTAAACCCTAAACCCTAAACCCTAAACCCTAAACCGGTTGTTGATCCCAATTCTAGTGTTGATGAGCATGCAGGCTCGGCCGCCCACCAGGGAAGCCCGAAACTCCTTCACTTTCTCGGGATCAGCCTGAGGAAGCCGGCGTGCGGTTTAGGGTTTAGGGTTTAGGGTTTAGGGTTTAGGGTTTAGGGTTTAGGGTTTAGGGTTTAGGGTTTAGAGTTCAGAGTTTAGGGGTTGGGGTCTGGGGTTTAGGGTGTAGGGTTTGGGGTTTAGGGTTTATAGCAGGGCTTAGGGTATTCATCATGTTTGTTCCTTGTTGGATTTCAAGCTTTCATAAGATGACTTTCAACAATGCCCCAGTTTTGCAACACGGAGCTCATGTCACCCGTAACACGAAGAAGGTGCAGGATTTGGATGTCTTGTAGGGTTCTTAAGGGAGGGAGGTTCATGAGGGGAGGTACCTCGCGGACCTTGGCAAGCTCCTAGGGAGCTTAGGGGGACCATTGGGGAGCCTCAGGTTGCATACCCCCCTTGAAGCCCCTCCCTTAAGAAGACTAGTGCAGGGTTTCGGGTTGAGGGCTTCAGTGTCTTAGTAGCCCAGTAAGCATATCACAATAAGGGCACCCTTCTTTGGGCTGGATACTTTACAAGGGAACCTGGAACCCAAAAAAAGGGTAAAGGGTACCACTGGGCTACCAAGGGGTCGAATGTGGAAGGAGTTAGGGTTTAGGGTTTAGGGTTTAGGGTTTAGGGTTTAGGGCTTAGGGGGGAAGATGTGAGGGAACTTGGCCGAGACGTCGAGCAAGCGCAAGACATGCACATGGGCACAGCCTAATGTAGGGGTCGGAATATTTACGAATAGTATCCCCTTATTGGTCTCTGCATAGATATACTATACGAACCCCCAAAAACCCAAAAACATAGGCCCTCACAAGCTTTGCTTTTCGCCACACTAAGCCCTGGACTCTATGAAAACCCTACACCAATGATGGCAAACAAACACATTCAATACATGTTCCTAAATGCGATCCTCTTGAAAATAAGAGAAGATATAAAACATCCCAAAAGCTCAGCCCTAAACCCTAAACCCTAAACCCTAAACCCAGAACCCTAAACCCTAAATCCTATATGCCAAGGCCAGAATGGCTCAGAGCCTCTGGCTTTTTCTTTCGCCTCGTTCTTGCCCTCTTCCTCGATGTGAAATCCTCATCAAACAGGACTTGCAGGACTTCCCAGCATTACGCGTAATATTGCCACATCCATATCAACTCATATGATATGATATGATATCATGGCATATATATATATATAAATGTATACATATGGTGCAATATACACCGCAGTGGACACGGTTCAATCTTTGTAGGAGCCTGAGTCAGAGCTGTCGCAGATCAAGGCGTCCTTTGAGGTCCCAAATCAGACTCAAAGGGTTCACCCCAAACCCTAAACCCTAAACCCTAAACCCTAAACCCTAAACCCTAAACCCCCATTCAGGTCCATAGAGTCAGGCTGCTTGTCACAGAAGGCAAGACTTCAACCATGGAGCGCTGCAAGGCTCCCTAACACCAAAGGTTAAGCGAAACTTACATCCCAACTCTCCTACTTGAAGGTTCATGGGTACTTATCACCACAGTTCTGCGTCTACTAATAAACCTGCTCAGGGGACTTAGGGGGCTTAGAAGTAGGGTTATAATTGGGGCTATAAGTACCATGAACCTCCAAGCACATCATCCAAACCCCAAAGCCGGCGTTCACGGTTCAGGGCTCAGGGTTAAGGGTCCAAAACCCTCAAGACTTCCCTAGGGTAACCTTCATACCATTACAAAAGGAAAAAGGCCGTAATTATTGGGCATACACACCCTTCTTCAAGGTACGAGGTTACAATCAACCGAACCCTAAACGCTAAGCCCTGAACCTGAAACCCTAAACCCTAAACCCTAAACCCTAAACCCTAAACCCCTAAACATAAAGGAGACAAGTCGCTGAGGTTCTCCAGGAGGATGACGGAGCCAGGTTCTGGGGAGGCGCAGGCTGCCTGGAACCAGGAGAGCCCCTCTAGGGTTTAGGGTTTAGGGTTTAGGGTTTAGGGTTTAGGGTTTAGGGTTTTCCTACACCTCTAATTGTAGTTTCCTTTGTTTCGTTACCCACTTACATGGTCAGAAAAATACAAGATACAGGTAGGGTTGAGCATTCAGAAGGTTCATGATTTGTACAGTGTGAGGCTAAGCGGGTTCCGTTCTCTTACCTCATGGCTCTTGAATGACTCCATCACCTGCTCTCTCGTGGCCGGAAAAGCTTGTTAAACTACCCTAATGTTGGACCCTCTTTAGTGTGTTGGGCCCCCCGCCCCCCCCCCCCCCCTGAACAGTTGAGGCGTGGATGGGAGCCTGATTACACGGCCCCGGGGGCTTATATGATTTCAATAGGGAGGAGTTTAGATAGGTTTAGAAGGGGCAGCGATGCCCGGTTATCTTTTTTAAAGGCGCGCCACGTGGAATTTCTTACGGCGCCCGGACGGTTTGACTTTAAAGGAGACCCCGCAAACAGTCAGGGGGTCCTGAATAATTTGGCCAAATTGATTTTAAAGGGGAGGCCCCTACTAAAGCGGGTCCAACATTAAACCCTAAACCCTAAACCCTAACCCTGAACCCTACATTGAGTCAGGGTAGCTGCGTCTAGTTGGAATTCGAAAAACCGTCTGCAAGGATCCATCTACCTGTATCGTATATGCTCGGCCCCTAAAGCTACTTTGTAGGACCCCCCTTCAGGGTTTAGGGTTTAGGGTTTCGGTCCCAAGCATATACTATATAGGTAGTATGGGTCCTTAGAGCCTAAACCCTTGATTTCTAATATCGCATCCGGCCCGTGCTCCTTGGCATCTGCATAACACATTTTCCCACCGCAACTTCCAGTGTGTGCCTACATGTCTGGATCACGTCTTTATTGTGGAACCAGCGCAACTTACAGTATGTACCTATATACATGTCGTTCTCTGGAAAGTAACCACATTCGTACAACATGGTAGCGCTTTGGTACATTAAGCTTGCTGTGCAATCACGAGACATTGCGATGCTGCAATACTGCACTGCCATCACAGCGCAAAGCCATGGAACTACGATGCTGTGACACGGCACGAAAAACACGTAAGATTCTGATACAGCAGTAACATCTCGGTGAGCAAACCATGCTAAGCACGGGCATCCGTTTTCTTCGTTTCCACCTTGGTCATTGTAGGGGACGTGAAGTCCCCAGGTCTTTTTGCATGTGGGAGACGGGTAGTCCCCTCGCCTTTGTACTTAGGAGATTCATGGTACTTATTAAGCAACTATAACTGTACTGATAACCCACTTATAAGCCCCTTCAGTGCCCTAATATGGTGATAAGTACAGTTAGAAGTACAGTTACAATTGGGTTCGTAAGTACCATGAACCTCCAAGTGTGCGTGCCGGTGACGCACTTAGGCCTGTCCTCCCTCCTGATCCGAAGTCCAGAGGGTCAAATTGTCCCTCAGAAGCTGCATGATGAGAGTCGAATCCTTACTGGCTGAGTTCTCTGAGAATGAGAAACAAAAGGTTTTTACCTTTGGGCTTTAAGACGGGGATCACGGTAGCCAGGAAGGTTGAAATGTTACTTACCCAGCACCTAAGAGTCTTTGTAGGAATCCTCGGCCACGTTGTCCAACTCGGCAATTGCGTCCTCGAAGGCGCTACGAGCCATCTTGCAAGCCTTATCCGGGTCGCTCAGCACCTCGTACCTTGGACAATCATGCAACCCTTCGACATCCCTTTCTCACGTTAGGAAGGGGCCTCTAGGCCTTTAGGAAAGCTTCGGGTGTGCCGTCTAGGATCATGAACACGGAGTAGTTCAGAGCCAAGCCCAAGCGAATGGGATGGGTCACCGCCAAATCTTTTTTGGCCACGTCCTGAACCCCGACGAATATGTGGCCCAGATCACCCTATAAACCCTAAAGCCCTAAGTCCTCAACCCTACACCCTACACCCTGGATCCTATCAAATGTCTGACGACAGAGATAAGCAGGGTCCTCCGCCTCTTGGTACGCTTGGCGGGCTTTCTCCGATGCACTGCTCTTGGCGTCACCATCCCGGAACTCGGCAATGTAACGGTAGTAGTCTGCCTTCATCTTCTGATAGAAGACCTTGGACTCACCACTCTGTGCCTCGGAGATGAGCTTGCCTTAGTAGCCCAGTGACCATATCAAAATAAGGGCACCCTTTTTGGGGTTGGTTACTTTATAAGGGAAGGGTACCACTGGGCCACCAAGTTGCCATCCAGGAGTTTCAGGATCTTGTCACAAATTGTCTGAAGCTCATCCTCTCACATCACAGCAGAAGTAGGCGAAAGCTCAAGACAACCTACATTGGCAAAAGGTGAACAACTACCACATCCTACCACTCTGCAAACCCGTCCTCCACCTTCTTGCAATACTCCTTGGCCATGAAAGCGTTCTCCGTGTTGCCCTTGGACTTCTCCTTCTGCTCGACGCTGGTGATGATGCGCCAGGCAGCACGGCGAGAACCCACGGTGTTCCTATACTGCACTTGTAACCCTAGCAAAGAATCACAATGGGCGCTGTTTCTTAGGAATCATAGTACCCGAAAATTAAAAAAATGATTCCCAAGTATCACTAAGGTTCTTGTAGGCCACGGACAGCAAGTTACGTTCCTCGACGGAGAGCTCCGAGCTCGCATGGCCCACATTGTTCATGTGGTCTGCCATCTCATCATACCGCTCGGCCTGCTCCGCAAGCTTGGCGAAGTACACGTCCTTCTCGCGTGGCATGGCTGCGAAAGGCCTTGAGAACAAGTGTCTCACAACTAGCAACGAACACAAGGTCGGGCAGAGTGCTGCGGCTTCCCGGCGCGCGGAACGCTCTGAATTGGGTCAAGCAAAGGAGCTTTCACCAACATCGGCACAGAAGCTGAACAAAAGCATAGCAGCAGTAAGGTATGAATATGGCTGTACAGCAATGCAGCAGTACAAATAGGGACTGAGTACTGAGCAGGCAACCATGATACAGAAACAGAATTATATAACTACACAGTCAACATAGAGCTTCAATACTGTTGTCTATTGTCACATAGTCCAGCAGCAACCACTTGCTAGAACTAGATACGGTATGCAAAGGCACGGTACATTGTGCTACCACTTCGTTACTATACGTAGTATAAGCATAACAAGAGTATAGTGCATCTATAAGGTAGCTCTGTTCACAGGACTATCGTTGCAACATGCTGGTGACACCTCACATGCACCAGCAAAGACCCACCATGCAAAGCAAGCTTCGAAGTCTGCGCAAATGTGACGTGGATCAATTCATGTGCTCATGAGGTTGCGTTAATTGGGTTCGAGTTTTGCTTTGATTTGCAAACTCGCCCCGTGCAGAATAACTAATGGTTTCAGGTTCGACTTTGCCGTAGTTAGTTGGAGTTTAGGTGCCCCATCATAGGGTGTAGAGCTTAGACTCTTCAGAGGTAGCCTGCCTCGACATCGCTGCCCACACAATCCTTCAAGAAGAGAATGCTCTGTCCAAGAATCCTGGTCGCGTGCTAGAGAGAGGGTCTTTCATGTGAACTCACTGGTCTTAGGGTTTAGGGTTTAGGGTTTAGGGTCATACTACACTTAGTATGCAAGTACGCAGACGCATCCAGCTGCAGCGCGCTTTCAATGTTCGTTCATCAATACTTGAGGACTCACTGAAACCTGAAAAAAACACGCGTGAAAAACACAAGAACCTAAACCCTAAACCCTAAACCCTAAACCCCAATAAGACTCTCGGCTCGACTCGGTTTGCTTGGGCATCGGGTTGAAGATTCAAAAGCCGAGGTCCAAGCTCTTCAGCCGCTTTCGCAACCGGCGCCAGGGAGTACTTCCTTGCTGGATCAGGCTGGAGGGTTTTGGGTTTTGGGTTCGGGGTGTATAATTATAGGGGCCTTAGTAGTTAGAAAAGCTTTCTTGTTCTTTTGTGGGGGTTGCTGTCATATAATTATGAAGGAAGGGACCATATGGGAATCCTACGAGTACTTCTTCCAACCCCTATACGATCCATGTGGCTTAGGCTTTTTGGTTTTTAGGTGGGGGCAGTGGCTTCGGTCTTTATCAAAGGCATATGGGCCTTGACGCTTTAAAGGCTTTGAGGGGAGGGGTTTAGGGTCTAGGGCTTAGGGCTTAGGGCTTAGGGTGTAGGGAGCTAGAAGATTTTTTTTTGCTTGGGCGTCCCAGCCCGCAAAAGGCGCCAGAGTTTCCATCGCCTGAACCCTAAGCCCTCAACCCTAAACCCCAAACCCTAATTAAGCCCTAAACCCGAAAATCTCAACCCTAAACACTACTACTTGCTTGAGAACCCCACCCCCCCCCCCCCCCCCCCCCCAAGCAAACCCTAAACCCTAAACCCTAAACCCTTTTGCAGCCGGTCGGCTCCACGACTTTACCATCCGGCCGCCCAAGGTGCGAGCCTTGGCTCGGAGAGCAAGGCTTTGTATTCAGAGTTTTTTTTTTGAGTTCGGGGGTTTAGGGTTTAGGGTTTAGGGTTTAGGGTTTTTTGGGGGGGATTTAGGGCTTGGGATTTCTGGAGAGCTGGGTTTGGTAGTCAGATTTTTTGAGTCTTGGGGCTTAGAGAGGGTTTTCGGGATTTAGGGTCAGGATTTTTTGGGTTTGGGGTTTAGGGCTTTGGGGTATCTCCAAAGGGTCCTGCTGTTTACCTTTAAACCCTAGACCCTGAAACCCTCCCCACCCCCCCACCCCCCTGCGCCATGCACACAATTCTTCCCCATACTTCACCAGTCCACCAGAACTTGGATCACCCCCTCCCATATGAAGCAGCGTTCCTATGTGGTACGCAAGTGTATAGTTGAGCGTACGACATGACACCCTAAGCCCCAAACCACCCTTGTATAAGTGAAATGCGTGGCCTCCTGAACCACGAGACACCTGTTGTGCTTGCCGGTTCGCATAGGCTAGAGGGTCTTATGTGCCAGGACTCACGGGCGGATACGGGTTACCGGGGATCCCGAAGAACCCTAAGTTGATATACCGTTCTATTCTTGTAGGGTAATGAATGCAAGGGCCTCCTTGGAGGGTTCCAAGGACCTGGCACAGAACGACTGACTTGGCGCCTTTCTTCAGGCAATGTCGGATCGTCGGCATCGCCTGTCCGGTTTAGGAGTCAGTGTTAAGGGCTACAGTGCTTCATGATTTAGGGATCAACGGGAAAGTGCTTCTTGGTTTCCTCATTTCTAGTAGGGCATTTAATGCTTCCCCCCCCCCCCCCAAACAAAAAAAGAGTAAGGTACATCGAAAACACTGTCGTGTCTTCAGGGCTCCTTGCGGCTCAGCCTACATGCTTCAGGGCTGTGCGAGTTAAGGGTGTACAGTGTAGAGGGTTTGGGGTTCAGGGTTTAGGGCTTGGGGTGACTTCGGATTGGGGCTTGCGCGCATGTTGAGGGGCGAGGGAGGGTGGCGGCGGAAGGGGGGGGGGGTGCCTCAGCTGCTGAAACACGTGCACTGGCCTGGAGACTGCCCTGAAGTATCTCAGTACACCCTTACCATACCAGTCTACCAAATTATACATATATATATATATATCTGGTCCCGGGCTGCCACGCCAACCCCCCCTCCCACCCCCATGGTATCCCCACCCCCCCTCCCGAGTATCCCTACCCCCCCCCCCCCCCCCCCCCCCCCTCCCCCTGCAGTGTGGGTGTTGTTGGGGGGTTAGCGTTTAAGGTTTAAGGGTTAGGGCCCACCCCCGCGCCCCCCCTGTGGTGTGGGTGTGGTTGTGGGTTCAGGGTTTAAGGTTTAATAACCCGGGGGGTTAGAGTTTAAGGTTTAATACCCCCGCCCCTGTGATGTGGGTGTGGTTGGGGCTTCAGGGTTTAATTCAGGTTTAATAACCCCGTGTGGTGTGGGTGTGGTTGGGGCTTCAGGGTTTAAGGTTTAATAACCCCTTTGCTGTGGTGTGGGTGTGGTTGGGGGGTTAGGGTTTAAGGTTTAATACCCCCGCGCCCCCCCTCCCCCCTGTGGTGCGGGCGTGGTTGGGGGAGGTTCGGGTTTTGGGTTTAAGGTCCGACCCCCCCCCCCGTGGTGTGGGTGTGGTTGGGGGGTTAGGGGTAAGGGTTCAAGGTTTAGGTGGAGGGGGAGGGGGGCATACCAATGGGGGGGGGGGATACCATGCGGGGGGTTGGGGGGGGGCGGGGGGGTAGGGCCCCGGAGCCCGAGACCATATATATATATATGTATGTATGTGTGTGTATGTATATATATATATATATATATTTACATATGTGTGTATCTCATCTATAAGTACATATATGTACATAAATGAAATAATAAACAAATATTATATATATATATGTACACATACATACATACATACATACATACATACATACATACATACATACATACATACATAGATACATATCCAATCGGTTGGCATTTATAGTGATCATGACTTATATTGATATGGATGGTAAAGGTCGCTGTCCACCCACGGTGTTTTTGCATTTTCAATCTCTGCGACATGCCAAGCGGGAATCAAGGCGGAATCCCACACCCACCCACCCGTTTCTCCCCCCCCAAAAAAAAACGAAAAACGCAGAACAACAAAAGCATCAAAAACAAAAAACAATATTCTGATACTCTGGTACATGGCTCGTTTCCCTAAGTTTGTTGTATTGATGTGCATTGTTTTCCCTTGGAAATACTGTTGTGGTTTCAGTCATTGGAGTTGCTTTGTTGCTTTTGTTCTTTTCAACATTGGTTTGGGGGTCCCTGTCATCAGGATAGCTGTGGTTCTCGTAGTCTTGGTGTCGAAAGCTCCAGCAATTCTTTAAGAAGAACACGGACCTTTCCTTCGTAAAAGCAAAGTAGGGCAGCTCTTCTACTTGATATGAAGAACAAGCAAGCTCTTTGCAAAACTATTTGGGATGAGCTCGATAGAGTTCTGATTTCAGGTTGCAGATCTCTCATGTCGTGCAAGACATGGGGAGCATCTCTCTACTTCTTACTGGGAGCGGAATGCCTTTTCTTTATTGGTAGCAAAGGCCCTTTTCCCCCTTTAAGCAGAAGATGAAATTTCGCGACGCAAGAACTAAAGTGAGATTCTCAAACAATTTAGGGCAGCTCTGTTCGAATTAGACAAGCCTTGTTGATGGTTTGAGGACGAAAAGGGACCCTTTCATACTTACTACAAGAAGAATGAAGGAGCTCTTTCCTAGTCTAAGAAAAGGCAGATGAACAAGAGGATTTATCTAGGGTTTTGTGTGCGACTAATAAGAGGTCGGGGTTTTTGATTCCCTCAGCTTGCGGTAGTTTTTGCTTGCATCTTAAACTGAAGGAATGAAGATAAACAGGGAGTCTCCTTAATTTTGAAGGCAGAATGAACGAGCTCGCACGGCAAGGGCATTTTGAACCACAGTGCATATCTACCTTTTTTGTGTGTATGAGAAAAAATGTGGTTCTCTCATCCTTGGATAAGCGATTTCCCTCATTTCTTGTTGAGAAGAAGCGGGGCTTCTTTGCGGCAACTTCTGGTGGCCGTCTTCGTACAGCGGAAGACAGGGCTTTCCTTTCAAGACTCTCTCGGAGGTCGAGGGACTGAACCCGCTCTTCTGGTCTTCAACGAGGGTTTAGGGTTTAGGGTTTCGGGTTTAGGGTTTAGGGCGAAATTCGGCAGGCAATGAAGGACAGCTACTCGGACATCCGCGCTTGCGGAGTATTCTCATTTGAGCACATTCCTTCGAAAATCGCTGTGCATGAGCTTTATGGATGGTTGCCATAACCCTAAACCCTAAACACTACCCCCCCCCCCCCCCCCAACCCCCCATAAGGATACATGTCACATATTCTTCAGAAATTCATTAGGCTTTGCATTAGGCTTTGTTCAGCGAACAAAATGAAATTAGGTGTTAAGCCGCCCTGCATCCTCTGCAGCGGCATTGACAAAAGAGCAAGCAGCGGATGGAAACCGATCTTGAAGCATACGTAAATGAAGAAATATAAGTATAAATAGATCTATATACATATATATATATCTACAAACAGAGAGAGAGAGAGACCCCCCAAAGGTAACCCATAGGCATACCCAACAGCCTCAACAGGGTGCGTTCAGGGTAGCGGCTGGCCCTGACTGATGCCAAACCTCTCCGAATGACTCTAAGTAATCATCCTGTCCGAACTTCTTCGAACCGATTTAGGGAATAGGTGCCTTGTAGCCCATGGTTGGAAGCCTTTATAGGGTACCTACTTCACCAATTTTCCTGTAAATACCCCGCACGAAGAGCCGAACAAAAACTTCTGAGCACCGGACGCCCTCGATCCGTTGAGTGTTCGTGATGATGCTAGGATCATTCTTGTCCTGGTTTAGGGTTCACAGGGTTTCCTAGTTGTCCAGTAACCTGGGGGAATGAAAGGTTAACCTTTGGGATTACAAGGGGGTTAAAACTACCCCGAAAGGTGAAAAAGGTTACCTACTCTACTACTAGGGTTTATAGGGCTTACAGGGCTTATAGAGTTCAAAGGGCTCGTAGGGTTTAGAAGCTTTAAGGGGTTTGTAGGGTTTTTCGGTTTAGGGGCACAAGTTTGAGGGCACGTGTGCAGATCATTGGCGGTGGATGTCCGCGTCGCACTCACTGCCTTGCTATACATTGGTCCAAGCACATTACGTAAGGCGTTGCCACCACGAACACTGAGCACAATCACTTCGCCACAACCTTTGGCAACGAAGAAACATCGACGACTCATGCTGCTAAGACCTCTAAACCCTAAACCCCTACAAACCCCATAAACCCTATAAACATCTATAAACACTATAAACCCCACAATCCTGTAAACCCTATGAACCCTATCAACCCTATAAACCCTACAAACCTTATAAACCCTATAAACCCTGTAAAGACTATAAACCCTCTCACCCCACAATCCCTATGAACCCTATAAACCCTTAAAACCCTATAAGCCCCATAAACCCTATAAAGCCCACAAACCCTATAAACCCCTGTAAACCCTATAAACCCTGCAAACTCTACCAAACCCTACAAACTCTACAAACCCTACAAGCTCTACAAACCCTAAACCCCAAATCCCAACCCACATCAACCCCAAACCCAGAATCCGGGTCATGCCATGGCCTGGGGCACATTGAAGTCAACACGGATGAAGACCTGAGCTCGCGCATACGCCCCCATCTCAGCAGTCCAGACACTACGAACAACTCGCGCCTAAACCTTAAACCCAAGAAAACCTAAACTTGCCCTAAACGAACCCTGTAAGCAACCCTAAAACACCCCAAAAAAACCCTAAAGAAAGAGCAAGAACATGTGGCGGGTCTGGGGGGCCCTTGCTTGAGCAGCAAAGGGCTCTCTGCCCCAAAAATTGGGCGTGTGGCTGGTTAGTGTGGCTGGTTAGAGAGGGTACAGCTAGAGGCCCTGGACCATAACAGTATAGATCATATGATAACATAGTGCACTTAATTTACTAATGTAATGTTGTGATCATATGGTAGAAATCATCTGAGACACATTGTAATATACTAAAAAAAACCCTGAACCAAGCACACGGAGGCCGCTGCTCTCTTGTCCCTCACGTCCAAGTCCTTCAGCGTCATCTTCCCCATCGCCTCGGCCAAGAGCACACTCTAACCTTCAACCAAAAACCCTAAACCCTAAACCCTAAACCCTTCAACCACACATAACCTAGCACTAAGCCTAGCCTAAGCCCAAAACCCCCGGCTGCAGGACACCGGCCCACGCCTCCCTAACCGTCAATGACCCATAAGCGCATAAGCGCAACTCTCCGACCTAAAAAACAAAAAGCCCTGAATGGCAAAATCCAAATCCCAAACCCCCTAAGCACCGTCACCAAACAAACGCATAATCTAGCAGCAGCTCGAGCCAAAAACCGAATGCCAGACTCAAGACCCGCAACCTTCAAACCCTCTTCAAGCCCCTCGCTCTAAACCCTAAATCCTCAACCCTCAACCTTGAACCTATACTCTTTCTGGAACCTTAATAAAAACATATTCTGAAATATCCTCTTGGGTTTTATATAAAGAAACAAAAAAATAGATATGGGGACTCTAAAGCCAAGGCACCATGTCGGCCAAAAAGGTGGCCCAGAAGGTCAAGTCTTCGAGGCGAGGAAACCGAGTCCTCTGCCCTATGAAGCTCGAGCCGAAGGCAGATCATGTGACAAAGTCATCTGGTTAAAACAGAATTTAGGGTTTAGGGTTTAGGGTTTAGGGTTTAGGGTTTAGCGTGATAGAGTAATATGATGATAGGATACCTGGTTTGAATCGAATACTGGAAGAAGAACTGACTAAAAGAATGAAACAATAGTAGAATCATTCTAGAATGATATAAGAATACGAGAATACGCAAGTAGATAAGAAAAAAAGAAGAAAATATCACGACAGAAAAAGCAGAATAATGTAACAACGCATGGATAGAGTTATAGCTCCAAAAACACATTGTAGCAATAATGAACGAATATAAGTGTATAATCACAAGTTCTCAAAGGATGCATACTTTTGGTAGTGAGCTCTTTTTGGGCATAGCATTTTGCTTGTGTGCGCGTGTGTGTGCGTGTGTGTGTGTGTGTGTGTGTGTGTGTGTGTGCGTGTGTGTGTGTGTGTGTGTGTGTTTGTGTTTTGGGTTGTTTCCGGGGTTTCGGGTTTTTGGAGTGTAGAGGCTTGGTAAATTTAGGCTGAATGTTTTTGTTACCAGGCTGCTTGGTGGTGACGTTGCGGGCTTCTTAGGTTGAAGTAGGGTGGTTTGGATCCGTCAACAGTGCTTAGGGCTCATGGCATGGGCATGAGGGCGCAAGGTCAGAGGTTGGGCTCTACTACTACATTGGGCTTAGAACCCCCCTCCTCCATTAGCCCTAAACCCTAAACCCTCAACCCTACACCCAATTCCGTTTTCAACTTGGGCAAGGGTTTGGAGGATTTGGGCTTGACCGTTCTAAGGGTCAAAGGGCTGGCGATTTGGGTGACCTTCAGGGGATAAGGCTCTGGTGCGGCGCTGCGGTTTGGAAAAAAGCGGCCAGACGTGTCCAGGGCTTAGTCTACTGGTAGGTCTGCTACAGGAGAGCATATATGATGTAACTTATGAAACACTCACTAGAAAGCAATAGAAACATTGATATCGTAGGACAGCGACCAGACAAGCTAGTTAACGGCACGAGAGCAGCTTCCCAGAGACTCCAATACCCCTTAAGTAAGGAGTATGCTTTAAATTATCATGGGGTTCCTTATGTGGCTCTAGGAATATTCCTTAATTAAGGAGTATTGGAGTCTCTGGCTTCAGCAGATGACGGGCTTGCGACGCAAGTTCGGGGCAGGTTCGTCCTGCTGCCTCAGGCCGCCACCCTCCACTGAGTCAGCCCTAGGAACCCCGAAACCCCCCAAGAAGTTCCTGAATGCCCTGACTGAGTGGTGCTTTAAAGCTTTGACAATGTTTTTTTTTATGAATAGGTTCCCTTAAAAAGGAAACAATGGAAATTATGTCCCAAAGCACTACCCAGCGAGTCCTACCATGAAGCCTAGAGCGCCTACCTTGGTAGCCCAGGAACCACATCATAATAAGGGCACACCATTTTTTGGTTTGGCTACTTTATAAGGGAACCTTGAACCAAAAATAGGGTAAAGGGTACCACTGGGTACCAAGAACTCTGTACCGAGGTGGGGGGGGGGGGGTTCCTCGTCAACCCACGAGCTCTGGACGTCGGACTGCTCAATCAGGATGAGCGCGTTCTTTCGCGGGGCCTTGTGGAAGAGGGTCTGCTTGGGACAGCAATGATATAATATTATAGGAAAACAGAGGTTCCAAAAAAAATAGGAATATAGAAAAACACAAATATAGGAAAATCAGAATATACTGACATAGCCTTGTGGAAGAGGGTCTGCTTGGGACAGCAGCCCCTAAAATCTCAGGTACCTACACACATATATATATATACATATATGTATATACTTGGGCCCTAGAGCTACTCTACAGGAACCCTTAAAGCCCGAGTATATACTCTATAGGTACATGGATCCATATTCCATAGGGAGCATGGAGGGTGCAGGGTGTAGTGTCGCCTGCTCGCCCAGCTTCGAACCGATCATGTACTTCTTCTCGAAGAGCTGCTGCCGCTCGACGAACTTCCGCGCATTGCGCAGCTCCTGATCCATCAGGACTCTGGAGTCTCGCTCTCTCTCTCTCTATGTGTATATATATATATATATTTGTGTTTACATATTGTATACATACATATATATATATATATTTAAACATGTGTATGCGTATATATATATATATACAGATTGGAGACCCTGAAAAATCCTGCTTCGGAGCAACAAGCGCTTAAGACGTTCGTGGAAAGCACATAGCAGCCAGACTTCAGACTGCAGAACCGCCGAAAGATGCTTCTAGAAGTACCTCAATGCAACCATACAAGGGGTTTAGGGCTTATAGGGTTTGGGTTTAGCGTTTCCGAAAACTAGGGGTGCCTTATTGGGGTCCGTATTAGAAAGGCATCCTACTATTTGGAGGGTCTACATTAAGTGGTCCCTCATTTTTCGAAAACCCCCTGTAGCTTCGATGGCATAGTCCTGCAGAGCCAAGACTGCTAATTTATTCTGTATAATAACCTATAAACTGGGATGTTCCCCTGTGCACTAACAGTCCTTCATAGGGAGTACAGTAGGAGGTACTCGAACCCCTATTAGGGACTAGAAGGAATATGGGAATGACTTGGTTGCCCAGTAACCAGATTACACTAAGGGCACCCTTTTTGGGGTTGGTCACTTTCTAAGGGAACCTTGAACCAAAAAAATGAAGGTGAAGGGTACCTGGGCTACCAAGATGATATGAAGTAGGGTTTAGATTTCTTGTACCCCCAAGAAGACACTCAATATATACACTCACCAACATTAAAAAGGAGCCTTATATACACTCACCAAGAACAGTAATAACCCTGCTTCATATCGGCGTTTGCTCCTCGTTCATCAGCTCATCGACGTCCTTGATCTGCTTGAGCAGCGTCTCGCGCTTCGTCTCTTTGCCCTGTCGCAAAAAGTGAGTGACATCGAGTGATGCCCTGAGCTGTAGGGGCTCAGACAGCAACACCTAAACCCTAAACCCTAAACCCTAAACCCCAAACCTTAAACCCTAAACCCTATGCACCTAAAGTTCTGCGTAGAATGCCGAATCTTGCCAAACCCCGGTTTTGATTTGCGCCTCCTTCTTCTCCAGCTGCTTCAGAAACTGTCCAGTTCTTTTGGTTGCCTGGTCTGAGTCGGGTTTGGGATTTGGGTTCTAAGTTTTCTGCTCAAAGGCTATAATGTAGTTCCTTGTTGGGTTAGTTATAGGGGGTTCTAGTATACTACCCCCAAAAAAGTACTACATAGGAGCCTTTGGGTGTAGGGTTGAGAGTGTAGGTTGCTACAGGGGCCTACTCAATTAGAGACGTACAAGGTGGCGGTAATGCATTCCACTGCCAGAAGCTGCACAATGCGTGCTCGCCAGCACAACTGACTATACTACAACGACCCCATTCACAGCACGTCTGGGCTTAGGGCAATGACTCTGTGAAGATTGCTGATATCCGGTCTCTATTATTTGTTGGTGCACCTGGAGGCCCAAAGCTCTGGAGGGCTCGAGGTGAGACACTCTCTCGCAAAGGAAAGAAGCCTGCTTGTTCATGGTCTTCAAGAACTTGAAGAGATCCTGAACCTCCTTTCGTGGGCGCGAAGTCTTTTCGCACTTGCCTCACTCGGACAGAAGGCAGCACAGTCAAGGGGTTGGGGAGGAAAGAGCTGACTTTCAGCTCCCGTAAGACAACCTGGATATTGGTCTCCTAAACCTGCTGTGATGCAGCTGTGTAGATGTCGCTGAAATTTGTGCTGAAGACCCTGAACCCTAAACCGCCTAAACCTCCTGGGACTCTAGAGCGCCGAGCCACGCTCATCTTCCACAACCTTCATTCGGCTTGGAACCTGGCATTCTCTCCATGTTGGGGCCTTGACCAAACCCGAAGCCCCGGTGTAGGGTGGAGGCGGTGGGGCAGGTGGGGGGGGGGGGGGTTGCGACCGAGGCTCTTGCGACTAAGGGCGCCAGCTATTCAGGGTTTAGGGGTTAAAGGGCGACAAACGGGAGGGCGATCCCATCGTAAACCGCATTAGGGCACGCGATTGGGCTCTGTGAGGCAAACCTCCACTACACAAGTACGTGAATGGGATGAGCTGACCGCAGTCCTTGGTCGAGTCGCACCGGGAATTTCCCAAAATTATAACTTCCCTCTCGGGCTTCTGCTATATATACTGGTGTATCAACACAATCTTTCTTCGCCAGCCCGAAACTACATCATGAGTTCGGGAGCGCGAACCAAAAGCCCTAAACCCTAACCCTAAACGGTAAACCCTAAACCCTGTACACCTACCCAAAGGCTCCTAATGCAGCCGTTTCGGGCTAGTTCTAGGCCCCAACAAGGTACTAACAGCCTGCAGGTAAACCCCTATACCCCTGAACTAACCCTAAACCCTAAACCCTAAACCCTAAACCCTAAACCCTAAACCCTAAACCCAAGGTCTGCGTGTCATGCCTTCATGGACCGCTCCGTGTGCTGGACGATGGCACAGTTCTGCCAGAACTTGATCGTCTCTTTGAACCTCAGGAGCTCTTGGTTTGGGCTCTCAGGGTTTAGGGTTTAGGGTTTAGGGTTTCGGAACCCTAAACCCCGTAAACAAAGCCATTAGCTCTAACCTTAAGGGTTCTGGATGCCAGATTCATGGGCTCTTCCTGGCACCCCAAACTATGAGGAATCGAGTCAAAAAGAGACCCATACCCTCGCAGCCCGAAGCCCTAAGCCCTAAGCCCTAAACCCTCATCTCCGAACCAAAACACCCTGATCCACCCTCAGACAACAATATGTTTATATTGCACATTAAATAAATATATCGAAAAATAAACAAATAAACTTAATTAATTAATCAATAAACAAGCTATTAAATGAATGAATAAAGCAAAAAAAGAAAGGGACGTTGTGGGGCCTGCATTTTTGCAGGCATAGGTTTTCAAGTGTTTTTTTTTAGGAACGGCGTTTTAAGGAACGTGTACGTGTTCAGATTTTAAAGTTCAGTGTTTCGGGTTTGGGGTTCAGGGTTTTAGTATTGAGGAGCATATTCGTAGTGAAACCTCCAAATAAATAGATAGATAAATACATAACCATTATAAGAAGAAGAACACAACAATAACACCAACCCAGGGCTTTAGGTTATGAGCTTCAGGGGTTTTTAGGGTTTGGGGGTTCTCAAGTCCCCGAAGCCCACCCCAAACTCTAAATCCGAAACCCTGATCCCTCCCCGCTGTAAACCCGTGAGCTTAGCCGCGGTTGGAGATTTGGAACAAGCCCAAAGTGGCTTCGTGCAACCTACTACTTTGGGCTCCTTACTCTGAGCCCTACAGTTGAGGTTTAGGATTTTGGGAACTAAGCCAACAAACATACCAGCCCACACATAGTGGCAAATGTTACACATCGAGTGGACCCTAAGTTATATACAGCATCCCGCCAAGCACGCCGGGTGTCCAACAAAGAAGCCCTGGGTTGTTACCTGCATTGAACAAATCACCCTAAACCCTAAACCCAAAACCCTAAACCCTAAGACCTCAACCCTACTAAACCCCGACCCCGAACCTGAAGAAAGCGCTTCTGCACGGCTCTAAGCGCCCTGGCTCCGGCGTTGAGTGTAGGGCAGGTGGAATGCACCTTGCAGGTTCAGGGTTCAGGATGTTGCGTTTAGGGCTTAGGGATTAGGTTGAGGGTTTGGGGTTTGGGGTTTAAGGTTTAGGGTTTGGGGTTGAGGGCTTAGGGTTTAGGTGCAAAGGTGTAACCCATATCAACTTCCCCCTCCCCACCCACAAGAAGGAATTAAGGTGCAGAATATCAAGGGAATCAGGGGTGCATGTGGGTTGCGTGCGTGAAGTGGGGTGGGAGGGGGAGCGCCCGGCCTCTTTGTTAACCACTCTGGTAACGTGCAAGCCTAAATCCGACAGCAATACACACATGTCCACCCCATATGCATATAATTGCATAATATATATATATATATATATATATACAATATATATATATATATATGTAGATAAAGAGGTATGCATGTAAGACAAAAAAAGGTTGATGAAACTAAAGCGTCATGTTGCAAGTTCAAGGCTTATCTGAAGCCCTGCACCCTGTAAGCGGCAAGGAACTTGTCAACCCTGAACCCCTCAACTCTGAAACCCGAACCTAAACCCCTGAACCCTAACCCCCAAACCCTCAAACCCTAAACCCTCTAGCCCTAAAGCCTCAACCCTAGCTTAGGGTTAGAGACTTGTGAGTTTGCAGGGTCAGCATTGAGGCTTCCGGCTCTAGGGGTTGAGGGATTTTGTTGACGGTTTAGTATTTCGGGCTAACTTAACCCTAAAACCCTAAACCCTAAACCCTAAACCCTAAACCGTAAACCCTGAACCCTAAACCCTAAACTCAGGGTTCAGCTTTCAAGCTCTAGGCCCCAAACCCGGAGTTTTTTAGTGGGCGGTTGAGAGTTTTGGGTTTAAGACTTCAGGTGGATGGTTTCCCCCGTGCACCCTTCGTTTAGGGTTTAGGGTTTGGGGTTTAGGGTTTAGGGTTTAGGGTTTGGGGTCTAGGAGCCTTGTATAAGAAAAACCTCCTGGGAACTCCCTTCCTGAAGTTCTCCAACCCCAAACCCCAAACCCCAAACCCCAAACCCCAAACCCCAAACCCCAAACCCCAAACCCCAAACCCCAAACCCCAAACCCCAAACCCTAAACCCAAACACTGAAAACCCTAAAACCCTAAACCCTAAACCCTAAACCCCAAACCCTAAACCCTAAACCCCCTAAACCCTAAACCCGAACCCTAAACCCTAAACCCCAAAGCCTAAAGCCTAATGCCTAACCCTAAGCCCTAAACCCATACCCCCCCCATGCCCTAAAAACTAAACCCTAAACCCTAAACCCTACGAGACTCGGGAGCTGGCCACTCCTCCTGGGTGAGTTCGCCCTTGGGCTGCTTCATCTGTACCTGGCAGATCTAAGCTGCGGGCCGTTCTTTTTCTTGGAGGGGAGAGCGAAGGTTGAAGTGGCCCACGCTTTCGAAGAGTTGCGAAGCTGCTTCTCACCATCCCTGTCAGTCCGCGGCGTAAGTACACCACACATGCCTTGTCGCAGCATGTGTTTGTCAAACCCTTTGTAAGATCGGCCGAGCAATCCCTGTTCCCACACTGGGAGAGGAGCAGGAACCCTCTTTCTCGTATGGTGTGCCCAAGGGAGGGTTAGAGAACCCTTTAAAGAAGGCAAGGGACCCTGTTGAGGGACCGTGTGACCGCCCTCGAAAAGCCCTAAGCCCTACAACCCAAAGCGCAAGCTCTATTGGAACGACAGTCTGGGGTTTAGGGTTTAGGGTTTAGGGTTTAGGGTTTAGGGTTTAGGGTTTAGGGTTTAGGGTTTAGGGTTTACGGTTTCGGATTTAGGTTAACTAGTGTCGTTACTTTGGGTTCCGGGTTCGGGTTTCAGGGTTTCGCATTTGTTGTATTGGGTTTAGGATGCTTCTGAGCATCTGAAACCCCCAACATACCAAAGAAAGCTTAAACCCCGAAGCCGAATGACCCTCAAAACCTTCAACCCTAAACCTAACTCTATAGACCCCAACACCTATAGACCCTGAACCCTGTGGACCCTGAACCCTATAAACCCCAAACCTCGAAATTAGACACTCCACCCTCGTCACTGACTCCAATGGCCAAAGAACTTGGGCTGAGGATTGCGGGTTCGGAATTTAGGTTTTCAGGCTTAAGAGCCTAGGGTGTAAGTTCAGGATTCCAAGGTTTTGGGGCTTAGGAATTGCTGGGTTTAGCCCTCCTGGCGTTGGTTCTCGCATCAGTTGATCGTGCTTTATAATCTTGGCTCAAGCTCCCAGCACGCTTGGGGCTTCTTAGCGCTTGGGGTTTGATTTGCAGTGGGGAATGCGGGGATGAGGCAACCTAGAAGATGACATAAGAGTGCCTGACGAATGCCCCCATTCCCTACTAAGAGCCAGCGAGATTAGGCTTTAGGCTTTCAGAGGCCAGTGGGCCACACAATTTGCCTGTCAAATAGCACGCACGAATGCTGTGCAGCAGCGCCTTCAGATCTTGCAGCTTCTTGGCCCGTATAAAAGTGTCCTTCCGGCCACGTGGCATTTCTACAAGCAGGGTTTAGGGTTTAGGGTTTAGGGTTGAGGGTACAGGGTTTCGAGGTCTTCAGCCACAGTTCAGGCTTTGCTGCAGAAGTGTGTACGGTTCTCAGAGAAGCCTTGGACCCTTCAGGGCCTACTTGAAGGTTCATGGTACGTACTAACCAATTATGACTGGGCTTATAACCCCAACCCCTATAAGGCCCTTTAGGGGTATTATAAGTAGGGTTATAATTGGTTAGTAAGTACCATGAACCTTCAAGTAGCTTTCAGGCAGACTAGCCAAGAGAACAACATAAGACGACATCATGAAGATCGGGCAGGGCAGGATGCGAGCTTTCTCTGCGCAAAGACTTGTGGCTGCTGACAACGCAAGCTGCCATGTTGCCTGCGGACGGATAAATCACGCAACATGCAAGTCCGACTCTCGAAATTCCTCCTGCGGATGCCCCGGCCCCTCAACCCTAAACCCTAAACCCTGCCTAAACCTCGACAATCAACGCTCGCGCCTCGGGGATTTGTGTGGGAGCATTTGGGTCCTTCTTCTTCGCTTTGGGCTGGCGCGAGGCGCAGGTGGGTATCGGCTTTGGGATGCGGGTTGGCTGGGTGCCTTTTTGGTTTTTGTCTTCTAAGCCCTAAACCCTAAACCCTAAACCCTAAGCCCTAAGCCCTGAACCCTGAACCCTAAACCCTAAAACCTTAAACGAGGGCCCTGCCCTTCTAGGTATATCTTCTAAGACCTCATGAGTTCCTGTAGAATGGATTATACACGTTAAGATCCAACTTCAGGCCATATAGTGTAGCAGGGCCAATGTATGGTTTATATAGGTTTGATGTAAAACCGAAAGGCCGCAAGACTCACGCAACCCAACAAATCCAGAGCTCTGGAACATCTCTGAAGATGGCCGTGCAGTGGAAGTTGGGTTAGTTGAGGGGGGGGGGGGGGGGGGGGGGGGGGGGGGGGGGGGGGTTTAGGTCTAGTTGTAGGCGCTTTCGGGTTGCGGTAAGAGCATGGCGTTTCTGGTCAGCTAGCACGGCGTAAGCATTCACCCTTCACGACTCCCCGTCCGCTGCTCACCCCGTGCCTGAACCCCAATCCTACCTAAACCCTTCCAACTCTCGAACCCTAATTAAAAGCCTAAACCCTGAACCCTAATTAAAGTCTTAAACCCTAAACCCTAAACCCTAAACCCTAAACCCTAAACCCTAAACCCTAAACCCTAAACCCTAAACCCTAAACCCTAAACCCTAAACCCTAAACCCTAAACCGCGTGTACAGGGCGAAACAAGGGGGCGAGACCCCCATCCTCGCGGAGAGACCTCACGGGTTCGAAGGTCTTTTCATTTAGTACCAGTTGACACGGAAATGCCCATCGATAAAGAACTATGATTCAATCATACATATTCTTAGTCAGGTGCATGTGTAACATCTATATATACACACATATATACATATATCCAATCATTCAGTTCAACTATTCTGTTATTCAGTTCTTCAACTATACAATTAGTCAACTACAATCAGCTGTGTAGTATGATGAATACGACTAGGATGAATCATTGAATATGGTCATGAGTCAGAAGTATGATCTTGTTAGTCGTTTCTTCGTTTTCTTACTGTTTTTGGGTTTAGGTTTCAGGCTTCAGGGCTTCGGGTTTGGGGTGTGGGCCCGCTGCGATGCAAGGTCCTCTTGTCTTGGGCTTGGGGTTTAGGGTTTCGGACCTGGGGTTTTGGGTTTAGGGGTTGAGGGTCCTGCAGCCGTTGAGGGCTTAGCACCTGTGGGAAACCAAACCTAACACAAATGCTCTCAGGCCCGAAAAGCCTTGGACCCTCTAAACCCCCAGCTCTAAAAGCCCTAAACCTTGCACCGTAAACCCTGTGAACACGAATCCTCTCACCCTTGAACGGTGTCCCAGGGGTCTGGAGGATGGAGAGTTGTAAAACCTCTGGGCAGGCTTAGGGCACAGTGGGCTTTAGGGCTTATAGGGCTTAGAGGGCTTCGTCGCAAAACCCTCTCCTGAAACTTACACCTCCACAATCCCCACTGTTACGCATGAATTAAAGCCTATACAAGAACACAACCTCCCAGATTGGTACCTGTAGAAACCCTTGAACCCTACCATTCAACCCCAAAACCCCATAAACTCTATAAACCCTGCAAACCCTGTAAACCCGAAACCGTAACACCTGAAGCCCAAAAAGCAGACCCAGGCCTCCAGGTGACCCCCTGCCCCCACACCCCCTCCCCCCCAAACACTACGTCTCAGCTGGAGCCGCAAAGGCGCATTTCGGGTTTTAGGGCTCATGGGGTTTGAGGGGGGGGTGGGGGGGGGCCTTGGGGTTGGGGGCCTTTTTTTCGGTGGTTTGGCGGCTTAGGGGGGTTTTAGGGGTTTGCGGTTTAAATTGGGTGCAGGGTTTGGGACGGTCTGGGGATAAGCTCTCTTCACTGTGGCGTAGGGCTTGAGGCTGGCTTGTAGTTTCGGGTTTGGGGTGGGGGGGGGGGCTTTGAAAGATGGCCTAGTGGATCAAAGGGACCTTACGGAATCTACTTGGAGGTTCATTGTACTTCTTAACCAACTATAGCTGTACTTATAACCCACTTATAAGCCCCTTAAGTGCCCTAGTATGGTCATAAGTACAGTCATCAGTACAGATATGATTGGTTGTGAACCTCCAAGTACAGGGCCTTGCAGTTTGCCTGCAGTGCCTTACGGCTCATGCGGCTTACGTACAGCTTGCCTTTGCTGGTTGATTGCGCATGCTCCTCAGTTAGGGTTTAGGGTTTAGGGTTTAGGGTTTAGGGGTTAGGGTTTAGGGTTCAGGGTTTAGGGTTCAGGGTTTAGGGTTTGGGTTTAACCGGGCAGACATTCCGAGCCTATGCTTGAGCTCCTCGACTTCGTGGGGCAATTGCAAATATCTGCAGGGTGCAGGCCTTGTAGCCCTTGGAAATGGTTTGAGGGGATACCCTGAGAGCTCTGCAGAAAAACCCGAGGCCCCAAGCCCCAAACTTAAACCCTGAACCTATAACCCTCAATTCACCGTCAGAGGCCACCTGTGGTAGTGAAGGGTTCAATGCATCGTTTCTGGATCCGATCGATAGGCCCTGCAAAAACGAACCTTTAACGCGAATCCCTATAGTCAATCCTGCAAGCCCTTAACCCCCAAACCGAAACTCGAGCTAAACCCTACATACCCTACAAGCCGAAAACGGTCTGAGGCGATCTTGGTAGCCCAGACACCATATCATAATAAGGGCATCCTGTTTTGGGTTGGTTACTGAATAAGGGAACCTTAAACCAAAAACAACGATAAGGGTACCACTGGGCTACCAAGCTATTGGGCTGGGGTTGAGGCATGGGGGGCCTGCCACGCCCAGCACACGCCCCTCTTTTTTACTAGCTGTCCCAACCGATGTATCCCAAGCTCCTGCGCAGTGCCGCGAAGCTGCAGCGCTCTTGTAGGGTTTAGGGTTTCGGGTTTAGGGTTTAAGGTCTCAGGGGAATCCAAAATCCGCTACTGCGTCAGAGTTGCACAAAGTTTATCTTCTGAAATGTGTGGGCTGTGCCGCAAGACTTGTTCATGTCTCTTGATGCAGTCAACCCGAAGCAACCATTTTGGGTCATCATGTATAATGAAGCCCTCCACCCCCCCCCCCCCCCCCCCCCCCACCCGTCACAATGCAGTCCCTTAATAAGGCATCTCATCTTATGCCTACATGGGGGGGGGGGGGAGGTTCCTAAATGAGGGTCTCTATGTGTGCTCCTATCACATTCATGTATAAAGAAAGTATGCACATAATGCATGGTCACCCCGGCAAGAAAATGAAGGGTCCTAGGGCCTATTCTGATGCTCATACCCCCAAACCCTAAAACCCCAAACCCGAAACCCTAACCCCAGACATCAGGCTTCGGAGAAAAAGACTAAAGCGCGTCCTCGCACCCGAGATGTCGGACTCCTGGCAACATACCAAGCGCCATCAGCCTACAGCCTACGAAGTTTAGGGTTGAGGCTTTAGGGTTGAGCCTATAAGCCCTAAGCCCCCCCAAATCCCTACATCCGACAGTTCCCCACTCAAAGCTGAACCAGGGGTGGGGCGGTGTCTTTTCGTTTGGTTGGGAGTGACACATCGTGTTACGAGCCGTATCAGCTGGCGCCCTTAAAAACTTCTCCAAGTTACGGGTGTAGGGTTTAGGGTGTAGGTTTACCCCTAAACCCGTCGAATCTAAACTGCAAACTGTCTGAAGTCTCCGAACATGACTCAAAGCCCTAGTGAACGACGTTTCCGCGAACTGGCCGCGCAGCAACTGTGTCTTATTTTGCAGTCAGAGAGCCCAATACCCCTTAATTCAGCTCTTTGGACAGTCAGATAGTATCTATCCTCAACAGACTTTGAGCCCTCTAAACCTTAAGCCCGGCATGCTGGACTCTGCGAACAACATCTACCCTCGATAAAGAAGCCCTAAACCTGGACAAGCGCTTGGTTCTGTGTCCTAAGCCCCAGACCCAAAACCCTATGCCCCAACCCAAACCCTAAAACCCCCAAACCCTAAACCCTACACCCCAAACTCTGGTGCTCCTTAGCCCTACACCCTACACCCTAAACCAGGTTTTGGAAGTCCTTTTGGTTAACTGATAAGCAGGCTGACGTGCAGGTAGCTTTGCAGTTGCCCCAGCTGCAAATATTCGACCACACCATCACGTTGGTTGAACTAAAGTGGGCCCTGAAAACATCCAAAAATGGAAAGGCAAGTGGGTTGGACGGTTTTTCTTTTCCTGAGTTAAAGGCTTTGCCCCCTGAACTGGTAGACATGCTTCTACAGTTGTTAAACAATATCACATCCACAGGGCCGTGGCCACAGTCACAGCTTGATGCTGCCGTAACTTTGTTGGGAAAGTGCCAGAGGCCTGAACAGCCTGCAGATGCCAGGCCCATCACAGTACTTGCGTCGGTTTATGGAATTTGGGCAAGATGTCAAGCTGCCAAAGTGTATTTTGCATTTTTACCACATCTTCCTTCAACGTTGTGTGGCTCAGTGCCAGGCAAGTCTGCCATGGACTTGGCCTGGATGTTGCAAAATGAAATTGAGTTTGCGTTGTTGTCCGGGCAACCTTTGACAGGTTTTGCCTTGGACCTCAGCAAAGCCTACAATACAATTTCAAGGCCAGTTTTGGACATTGCAGCACAGCGTTTGGGCTGGCCTGTTGCGCTTAGAAAAGCCTATGCGGCTTTCCTCGCAGGTGTCCGCAGGCACTTTCGTGTAGGTCAGCATGTGTCCCCGCCTGTGCTCAGCCAAACTGGAGGCCCTGAGTGCCCTTTAGCTGTGGTATCGATGATTGCCATCACGTGGCTGGTCTCAGCCGAAGTCCAGTCAAAGCACAGCATTCCTATGATGTCTTACGTTGACAACTGGACTGTTCAATCTTCGTCCTCTGCCGTTGCAGGAGAAGCAGTTGCTTGCGTTACATCTGTAACCTCACAGTTGGCCATGACGGTGTCGTTGACGAAGCCTTTTGCCTATGCCACCACAAAGAAAGACAGGGGCTTTTTACGCCGGTTGGTTGTTGAAGGGATCTCTATTCCTGTTGTGTCTGATTTTGGAGATTTAGGGGTCGTTTTTAGCGCATGTGCAAGGAGTTGCGCCAAGGGTTTCCAGCAGAGGTTGGAAAAGAATGCTGCCAAACTCCAAAAATTGCAGTTTCTCGGCTGGGGCGTCGACCGCAAGGCAAAAACATTGGGGAAGGTTGTTATGCCGGCTCTTCTGTATGGATGCGCAATTACTAGTATCTCAAATTCGTCATTCAGATGTTTGAGAGGCAAGTCCAATAAGGCGATCTGGGGTGATTTTTCGCAGCGTAACCATTATCTTGCCCCACTTGTTGCAGGTAGCGTCATATATGAGCCTTGGCTACTGGTGTTTAAGCAGCGATGGCAGACATTGCGTAGGATATGGGCCTCCATACCTGCGCTAGAGACCAAATGGAATTTCGTGACGGGGCGCCCTTCTTCCAAGGGAATGGGCCCGCTGACGCATTTTTTCCTTAATCTGCGTTTTTTGGGATGGGATCCTATTGAAAACGGTTATATAAGACTGCCTGACGGTAGCAAGTTGCATGTGCTTTTTTCAGACTGGAGTGTTGTGTGGGGCAAGCTGTTGGCAGCTTGGGAGACGCATGTCTCTACCCAGTTGCAATCGTGCAAAGATCTTCGAGGTTTCCAAGGTTTTTCGGTTGCTTGTGTGAGGTCGCAGTTGAAAACAGCGCAGGGATACAATTCTCATGTTGCCAACTACGCATGCGGGGCCATTGTCCCGGCTCAACGGCGCAAGCACTTTGCGTGTGACTTGGACTTGCAGTGCCCGTTCTGCAACGCAATGTTAACCACAGAGCATATGTTGCTGTCTTGTCCGGCAACCTAGCACTGCAGAGACGGCCTCATGGATGTTATCAGAAACTGCACCAATTTTGAAGTGCAGTGGGGGCTGTTCGCGTATCCACAAGAAGTGTTGGAGTTCCAAGCCATGTTACGACTACTGCAGTGGGATGATGTTCCCCAAGTTTTTCTGCACGAGGATGTGCATTTATTCACAGATGGCTCAACAGTGTGCCCGGAAACACCTTGTTTGTCCTTGTCTTCTTGGGGGGTGGTCCTTGCGCTGCCAGGGGTTTTGGGCGGTACGGGGGTTGTGAGCGGAGTGGTCCCAGGGGAGCAGCAAACGAATAATCGTGCAGAGCTGTTAGCTGTCATCGCAGCAGTCCTTTCGGGCACGGGGGTTATATTTATTCTGATTCGAAAGTCACAGTGGCAGGGTTTCGCAAATTGCAGCAGAGGGGGTGGTCCTTTTCGGCGTGGTACAAGTACTCAAATCTAGATTTGTGGCGTCTTTTGCATCTTGCGTTACAGCGGGCGCCGAGGCCATGGCACATTGTCAAGGTTAGTAATCACCAGAACTGGAAAACTGCTCCTGATGAGTATCATGCATGGTTGTGGTATCACAATGATGCTGCCAGAGAGAAGGCCCATTGTGCAATGCAGACGATGCGTGCGCAGCAAAAGGCTGTGTATCAACTGCAGCTCGGGGTCGCTAACTGCTTCTGCCAGGTCAAGCGTGCAAAGCATATTTCGGAAACTGCAAGCGTTCCTGAGGATATGCTGCAACTCAAAATGCAAGCGCTTGGAATGATGCTTTGTGATGCTGGGATCAAGTTCCCTGGCAGTGACTGCGAGCCTGTTTGGCAGCGCTTTTTGCTCTGCGCACCGTTCGGGCAACTCTTGTTTGAGTGGTTTCGTTCTGTCGAGTGGGTTTGGGACCCGGGAGGGTTCTCTTTGCTGGAGATGTATTATGCCTTTACCGGCCAGACTGGGTGGTTGGTTCCACTGAATCTGGCCGCTTGGTCTGATGAGGTTAGGCCAGGTGGGTGTAGGGGTGTTAACGTTAAGGCCCTTTGGGTCCACGAAACTCAATACCCGCAGCTAGTGCTGCATCGCCAAGCCTTGACGAGTCAGTTCGTCACTTTTGCGCATGTTGTGCGCGCTCTCTTTTTGGTCATTGCAAATGCCATTGGAATATCCAGAACATGCCAGCCTTGAAGTTCGTTGGAGTGCCTTGTAAAGTACCAGCAGTGTTATTCCGGCCGAAGTTGCCTCATGCAGCGAAGATTGTACAGAGGATCCATACGGATCTCAGGGGCCGACAGTATAAAATGTTTCTAAAGACCTGCTATGTGGCGCCCAGGGCTCCCCTGATTAGTCAGCTCGAGTACCCTGATCCACTGCAGGCTGTTGCCATGTCAAGGCGATTCCACAGACAGAATCGCTAATTCTACCAATTCGTAATTTATTCTGTAGTTCAGTCTCCAAGTGGATGCTTCGAGACCGTCCGAGTGACTGTTTGCATAAACCCTCAACCCTAAACCCTAAAGTTATAAGTACAGTTACCCTAAACCCTAAACCCCAAACCCTAAACCCTACACCCTAAACCCTAAACCCTAAACCCCAAACCCTGGTGCTCCTTGGCAAGGAGCTCTTCCAGCCAGGCCGGGTCCTCCTCGTCTTCCCCTGATGGGAGCTCCAAGGACGCAGGAAGTTGAGCTTAGGGCTTAGTCTTCGAGATGGTTTCCGATGTAGGGCTTAGGGTTTTCTAGGGCTTAGGGTTTAGGGTTTAGGGTTTAGGGTTGGTGTCTAGGGTTTAGGGCTCATGTTGGTTTGGAGTCTTGGGGTGGGGCTTCTGTTCTTTGTTTGACCTGCAACCACCCATGGAACCTCAGCCGGGCGCCAGCACGAGAGCCATCGCCAACCCTAAGCCTAAGCCCCAGTATCCTGTACACCCTGAAAGAAAAAAACGAATTACTAGGTCTTGTTACCCTCCTTGTCAGGGTATAGGCGGTATAGGTGGCTCTAGGTAAACCCGATTTGCTGCGTGAAAAATGAAGGCATTGTGCTTAGTGCTTAGGAATTGAGACCCAAAACGTGAGTCGAAAGTCTCCGACGCTGCTGAGATCGGGATGTTTTTTGCTCAAGAAGTACCCTCAGCTGGTGGAACGAATTCTCAAGCCCTAAACCCCAAACTCACAATGCCTAGGTGTGATGTGTGGGTTTCCAAAAATATGTAAGGGAACCCTCTGTGCGGATACTACGGATTGTTGGAGCCACATTGACGGGACCCCTCTTCTGGGAACAGCTATGTCAATGAAGGAATCCAAAACGACAACCTGTGGGACTGGAGCGGACAGTTGTCTTCAAGGCTCGTAAACAGGCTTACGCCATCCCAAAGATCCCAAGACCCCCCTAACTAAGGCATATATAGCTTAATCGATGGGAGGGACTCTTCTATATATATATATAATATAATACATATATATATATATATGTATTGTAAGGTATATTAATGAAGGGGTATTGGGCTCTCTCTGGCAAGTCCAGCACGAAACTCTGAACCCACACTGTGAGGTCACATCCCAAAGGCCTGCCCAACAGTTATACCTCGTTGCCCATAATCACAGCGAACTGCTGTAGGAACTATGGGAAGTTTATGTTAATCATTGCAATCTGGGCCTCCAGGCTAGGCAATGGCTTAGGAGATTACTTGGAGGTTCATGGTACTTATTCACCAATTATAACTGTACTTGTACCCGTACCTAAGGGGCTTTTCTGCACAGTTATCACTGGGCTACCTGGTAGCCCAGTAACCCTATCAGAACAAGGGCACCCTCTCTTGGGGGTTGGTTACTTTATAAGGGAACCTTGAACCAAACAAAGGCGAAAAAGGGACCCACTGGGGCTACCAAGCTGGGCTAGAAGTACCACGAACTTTAGGGTTACTAGTAGGGATCGCTTGGCGGCCTCCCACGCGATCTAGGTAGAACCTTGGCAGTTGGCTCTGCTACTTGAAGGTTCATGGTACTTGCTAAGCAATTATAACTGTACTTATAACCCTACTTATAATGCCCCTGAAGGGCCTTATAGGGGTTATCCCAATTATAAGTAGGGTTATAAGCCCAGTTATAATTGGTTAGTAAGTACCATGAACCTTCAAGTAGGCGGTCCTATGAACCACAAAGCCCTAAACCATAAACCCTCTCAGAGACTATCCATGTGGGCATGCTCGGCTCTCTTTCAAGGTGGGTATCTAACTACCCAAAACGGCACGTGTTTAGGGGCAACTCCCCAACTCGCGATTAGGGTTTAGGGTTTAGGGTTTTGGGGTTTAGGCGGACAGGGGGGATAGTCAGGGTGAGAGTAGTAGAGGATCCAGATGATTGAATTCGGGGACCCCGCAGACTCGACAAGGTTCGTGGGGGTTCCTATCTATCCCTGAAGCCTAAACCCTAAACTCTCTGTCAGGGTAACTCAGCGCATCGTCCCTAAGGTATGTCAGGTGTAGGTACGCTACCTACGGGACCTTGATTGCTACTTTTGGGCATTATGTTCCCGAACACAATTCTGTAAGGGTTCTATGCAGAGTATACGAGGCTTCAGAATTCCAATCCTAAACTGTGTGGAACCCTAAACCCCTATTTCCCTGAACTCTAAGCCTTCATGACCCTGAACCCTAAACCGCTAAACCCTATATCCCTAAAGCCCAGATTCCGAGACCCTAATCTCCCAAACCCCTGAACCCTAAACCCTAAACCCTAAAAAGAACTCGTTTCACTAGGTGTCGGGCGTGGACCGCGGACCATCGGGCAGATCGCTGCCATCAGCTTCCGGGATCCTAGTGGCTTTGGAAACTCGTGGCCCTTTAGGGTTTATAGGGTTTAGGGTTTAGGGTTTAGGGTTTAGGGTTCATGTGTTTATGGGTTTAGGGCCGTTTACGGTTCCTCAAGTTATGCCATTCGGGGGACTCCTCAATTAATGAATAGACCTCAAAGTATACAGCGTCTGTAGTGTCAGTCTCAAACACACCCATAGAGGTTTAGGGTTGAATCTTTGGGCTTCAGGCTTCCCTATGAAACCTAGACCCAGGAGTAACCTGGGAACCCTAAACCCTAAACCCTAAACCCTACACCCTAAACCCTAAACCCTAAACCCTTCTTGCTTTTAAGGGGCTTATAGGGGAACCCCACCTCTGACAAAAGGGAAAAAGGGCCGACTCCGGGTCCTAGAAACTGCTAGCTTTCTATGGGCCATGAGGGTTTAGGGTTTAGGGTTTAGGGTTTAGGGTGTAGGGTTTAGGGTATGAAGGACACCCATGAAAGACTCCGGAACCTGCACAAGTCTGAACCCGACCCTGAATTTCTTAGCCCCCCTGGGGGATGCCCTAGCAGCAGAGTATACCTACAGAGGGCCTCTTTCTTTTTTGTAGTGGGTAGTTGGAATCTAAGATCCCCACCCCCAGAAGAAAAAAAGGAAAAAGGGCCCAGTGAAGAGTTCCCTCTACGCCCCACAGCCACAGCGAGCCCCAATACCCCTTAGACAAAGGAATCTACCTTAAACTAGACTAAAGATCGTTGTACAACTTAAGGTACGGTCCTTCATTAAGGACGAAGTGGTATTAACGGGTATTGGGCGCTTTGGGGCCACATTGCATTGGAGGCATCCTCAGGAATGACGGCAGGGTCGTGTCCGACGCGCGGGGCGAAAGGACTTCCTGGAATCCGAACCTTGCTCGGCAGCATCAGGAGCTTAGGGTTTGGGGTTTAGGGTGGGCTTGCTGCGTCAGTTTTGTGCAAGGCGATTTTGGGGTTCAGGTTTGTAGAGCTTTACAGACTCCCTGTTTAGGACGGCCGTCTGGGTCCTGATTCCTGGTACTCAAGGGCTCGTTATATATCCATTTAATCCCGGAGCCACGCTGTCTCAGAGCAGAGAGTTTTGTCCGGACAGAACCATAAGGATTGGAACTTTCAAGGTTTCGGGCTTCGGGTAAGCTACATGGAAGCCTGTATATTTCCCACAGGCGTGATGCGGGTGACTAGGGAAATGTGGCTGGCTGATGCTGCTTTTCCGGGTGGCCGAGGTTTCGTAGCTGAGTCCCCAACCCGCGTGCTTTATCAGGTGCGCGTGCCACTTCTGTGCAACGCACACCGGGTGCGGGAAGGGGAGGAACAAATTAACGGCACCGTGCAGGAACTACCCAAACCCTCAGAGAGGGTTCTGGAAGCAGCTTCGCGTCTGCGGCGCTTCCAAAAGTCTGAATTTGTTGCCTCGATAGTGCTTGGGATCTGTACAGCTTCCCACAGTCCCTAAACCCTAAACCCTAAACCCTAATGGCAACTCAGGAACACCTGAAAGGTCCTTGAAACTTAGGACCAGACGTGCAAAATGACGTGCCCAACTCCCTGTACAAGGGCGACCAAAACCACTTAAGTCACTAAAGCAAACCAATCGCGGACTGACCACGAAGCCTTGGTAGCCCCAGTAACCATAGCAAAAATAAGGGCGGACCATTTTTTGGGGGGTTGGTTACTTTTTAAGGGAACCTTGAACCCCAAAAACAAAAAAATGGCAAAGGGTACCACTGGGCTACCCAGAAGCGCAGAATCGCAGCATCACACGTGCACTGGGAGCTCCTCCATCCGGCGACCATCACCTGGATTCGAAGACGTGCTTTCCGTGGACTTGGCCTGCGCTTCGAAGATTCCGAAAGGACCCAAGGGGTCCGCACCACCATCGCCATCACCTTAGTTGCTGAGTCCAGTATAGCCCCCCCCCCCCCCAAAAGTGTACACTTGCAGTTCTACTAGGGGATTCCAGTATCCCAAAAAGTGCACAAAGCGTACTCACTCAGCTGCTAAGTCACCAACATTGGGCCAAACGTCTCCCTGCGGCACCTGCGGCGCCTGGGGCGCGGGCCAGGCGCCCGGCTGGTGCCCTGGAATGGGGGTCCATGGGCTAGGACCGGTCACGGGCCCGAAAGGCCCCAAGGGGCCCAAGGGCCATGGCAAAACCTGCGGGGTCGGCTCCGTGGGTTCTGTCGGCTGGCTGGGCTCGGGAATCTCAGCGGGAATCTGGGGCTGAGATGGCGGAATTGCCGGCTGGCTCCTTAGTTGTCCAGTAACCTGGGGGGAATTAAAGGTTAACCTTTAGGGGATTATAAGGGGATTCTACTACCCCAAAAAGGTTAAAGGTTACCTACTCTACTACACTTGGGCTCTTCTGCGGGATGAAGGACACCGACTTCTCAGTGATGTCGAAGACCGTGTAGTAGAAGGCCCACAAAGGCAGGCCGAGGATGATGTTGGTTCCTCGAATGGCCGTTCAAGCCCTCTGAACTTATAGTTCTGGAACCCTAAACCCTAAACCCTAAACCCTAAACCCTATACCCTGAACCCTAAACCCTAAACCCTAAACCCTAAACCCAATAAGGGAAAATACAAACTGTCCCAAGGGCCCTACTGAGGTTCCCTTGCCACCTTTTGACAAGGCCACCATCTGGTTCAACGTAGTCAAGTCGAAGCTCACTGCGACATCCTCGCCCGAGACTCCTCGTAAGGGGGTTTAGGAGGGACCCTGGAAGGGACCCTTTTTGTGGTGTGCACGGGTGCACTGAATGACATGTACGAGCGAAACACGCCGCTGGGACTGCCGCAGCGTTTGCGCTCATGTATGCAAAAATTTCGCCCACAGTACTGAAATTCTTCAAAGCCCTCCCACTCCGCCCTTATAGATGGTGGGGTGCCGACTGAACGATGCGCAGTTGTACTATTTTCACTTGCGCATGTCATGTTCAGCCAGACGCCGCCTGCCACATGATTGCCATCCTTGGAACAGTTCGAGGGTTGCGTTGCGTTGTGTAGCGAGATGTCATCGTATTCAGCTAGATAACCTCCATGTGCACCTTATAGAGTCCCTATATACCTAAGTCGCCCCTAAATTTCCTTCAAATAACCCCTAAGGCCCCTTCGAAGGGTCCCTCCTCTGGTCCCTTGATTGTGTTGAAGATAGAGACAGATAGAGACTGCAAGCCTACCGGTAAAAAGCGCCGGTGGACAAAAGCTCTTGCACCCACCGGCTGATGTGTGGCCCATGAAACAAGCAAGCATGGAATGTCACAGATGGTTTTCACTGAATCAGAGCACACCCCAGGCTCCTGGCAGCCAGAATGTCAAGGTTGCCGACTCACCATACCTCGGATGGCCCTGAAAAAGCCCTCTGAAAGATGTTCCTAAATCTGATCCTCTTAAGCCCAATATGGGAAGTGCATTAAAAAATCCTAAGGGCCTACCTAGATACTCGATGAGCTGGCTGGCGTAGTCGAAGACCTCTGCCGGGAGGACCAAGGCCGGGGTCCCCGTATCCTGGGTGCAGCCATGGAACATCTACTCAAATCCCCAAACATCGCAACCCTGAACGCAAAAACAAGTAATGATGTGCATGCATATATATATATATATAGACAGACAGACAGAACAGGCAAATGTTCGTTATACACATCTATATATATATATATATATATATATATAGAGAGAGAGAGGGAGACCAAAACACGGCCTGGTGTCCATGATGCACTGTTGGCCAGGCTGGTTCGGATCGCAGCCGAAGCCCGTGAACTCCTGACCACCCAAGGAGATCTTCCTCGACTGTTCTTGCGGCCCCTGCTTGACAGTCGTAAGTTGCACCGTCCGTATGTATTTAAAAAGCCCAACTTCACCAAAAAACTAGACCTCTTATCCTTTTTCCGGGAGGGGGGGGGGGGGGAACCTAGTTTTATGGCTAAAGTCTGGCATAGTAAGTTTTTGAAAGCTGGCAAGACAGGTACCGCTTCAAAAGCCCTAAAGTTCTCCTTCCAAAGGTCTAATACTCTACGTACCTACGTCCTCTGCACTAGGTGCAAAGCTTTATGGGAATCCCGAATATCCATACCTTCTAGACAAACACACACACACACATATATATATATATATACATATACATACATACATACTTACTTAAATACCTGGACCTGGACCTGGACCCCTAGGGAAGCACACTCAAGTCTAGCTGCTGGACCGCGATGTCATACCAGCCAACCTCGCCCAGGACGGCCGGGCCCACCAGGGAGGACTTGTCATAGTGCCTTTCGCTGTCACGTCGCTGTCCAGGGCGTTTAGGGTTTAGGAGTTTGGGGTTTAGGGTTTAGGGTTTAGGACTTTAAGTTTGGGGCGTAGGGTTCCCTGAACCCTCTTAACCCCTAAACCCCTGAACCCCGGCTTCCCAAAACTAAGAGGGGGTCCCTTGTGTGGATGCGGGGTCGTCCTCTTTAAAGCGGGTTTGCAGCGGTGGAGCACAAGAACCACGAGCCTTGAGATGTATGGGTGCAAACGCATCATTGAGCTGTTATCCCTCAAGCCCCTAAACCCCTAAACCCCTAACTCCTAACCCCTAAACGCAAAACCATAAACCCAAACCCCAGAACCCCTTTTTTCCTGACTTTCGAGTCAAGTAGCTCGTTCAGCACAGCATCGTCGTCGAGGTATAGCCTTCCCTGGTTGGGAGAACCCTAAAGCGTGTCGGGTTCAGGGTTTAGGGTTTAGGGGTTAGGGTTTAGAGGTTAGGGTTTCGGGTTTCGGGTTTAGGGTTCAGGGATTTTGGGTTCCTCACTCCTAGCGGGGGGTGGGATATCGGAATGGCACCTTGTCGTTTCCCAAGAATTAGACTACTGGAGCCCTGAATCACGGAAGGTTGCATTTCCTACCCCAGGCTCCTATGTAGTACCTTTTTGATGTAGTATACTCGAATCCCCTCTCGCTAACCCAAAAAGGAACTACATTGCAAGCCTTTGGGTAGGTCCCTGGAAGTGTACTTGGAGGTTCATGGTACTTAACAACCAATTAGAACTGTACGTATAACCCACTTAGAAGCCCCCTAAGTGCCCTAATGTGGTTATAAGTACAGTTATAAGTACAGTTACCCTAAACCCTAAACCCTAAATAAGTACCATGAACCCCCAAGTAGGGGTCGGGTTTTCACCGACCTGGTTCTCTCCCAACTGCCCGGACCAGTGGATGCCCAGCTTCTCCACTCCACCTGCGGCGGGAGATCGAAGATGTACAGGGTTTAGGGTTTAGGGTTTAGGGTGATATGAAGCCCATACGCAGAGAGCACAAGATTTTTTCAGAAACACATATTTTGGATCCCTGTATGATTTTAAGCCTTGTTCCTTAAACAAGGGGTGCTAGGCTTTCGGGGTTCTATTGCTGTGATGCAGGACGCCGTTCCAGAAGCTAGATTCAGGCTGAGAGAGTTCAATAATCCAGGACTATAGCCCTAAACCCTATATTATGAACCCTAAACCCTAAACCCTAAACGGTTTCCTCCGGCTTGAGGTCCTGGACGTGCCGATATTTCTTAGGAACCTGGGGATGGTGCGCTCGAGGTCACTTGGGGGGTCGGGGACTGGGTAAGTCGATAGTAAGTAGACTTTTAAGTTAGTAAGTGCCCGCAAAGGGACTCTTGAAGTTCTCCTACTTAAAACTCTAGTAGACAACTACTTGCTAAGTCCTCCGACCCTCCACGCAGGCCTTGTGCTCGCAGCTTCTGGATTAGGGGAGGGGGCACCACGCCCGCCGCTTCCGGGCACGACGCAGCAGCGACCCCGCTCGACCAGTCGGGCCTCTGATCGGCCGGGAAGCCGACCTTTCAAAATCGCACGTGCACACATGAGCAACGCTGGCATTCGCGGCAAACGTCTGAGCTGAATTCATCCCTAGCGTTTCTGAAGCTCGATGTACATGCAACATGTTGAGAAGCCTGCCGGGGAGCTCTTTACTTACTTCAGAAGCTGGTGACAAGCCGCTGGTTGAGCAAAAGTGGTGTTGAGGAGTGCAGCTCTAATAGGAGTGCAGCTCTAATCAGCTCGAAGTCATTCTGTCGGGGGTGGGGGGGGGGGGGTTCCATTGGAAACGGATTCCAGTAGACTCTGGTAGACCAGGTACCTAAGGATAGCCTGTGCCTAAATTCGGAAGCAAAACCCAACGACAGAATCCAGATCAGCTTGGCGACGTCCAACTGTCGGAAAGCAATGCCGAAGATGCCCTGAATGCCGTCCTTGCAGGGCATGTTCTCCTCCTGTGCCATGATGCTATATGAAGCCTGCTGGAAGGTCACGTTTCCTGCACGGAGTTCCCCGACAACGAAGGGGCCCCAGTACCCGGTTGGATCACCGCCGGGGTTGTACTGATTGCAGGAGATGTACTTCGTTGACTGGTAGTTTGCCTTGGTAGCCCAGTAACCATATCATAATAAGGGCACCCTGTTTTGGGTTGGTTACTTGAGAAGGGAACCTTGAAACAAAAAAAGGGAGGTAAAGGGTACCACTGGGCTACCAAGATGATATGAAGTAGGGTTTATATTTCTTGTACCCGCAAAAAGACACCCAATATATATATATATATATATACACTCACCAATCTTAAAAAGGAGAAGGTAAAGGGTACTGCTGGGCTGCCAAGCTGCTTCCTGGAGAAAACTGCTCTGACAAAACGCGAGCGTGGAAGAGCCGGTGTCAACCACGAGGCTTTGTGCCGGCAGCAACTCGCCGTTTGGACCCACTGGTGACACGGCCTAAACCATGGTTGGGATAGTATTCGAAATTAAAAAGTCTATTTCTTACTGAGTTTATGTACCTTTTAAAATGCAAAATGTTCCCCTACTATGACAAAGCTGCCATCAAGAGCCGCACGCCACCGGACCACGATGTGGCGGCCAGAGGAATGGAGGCTTTCTGGTTGATGACATTGGCACTCATCCTCGCAGATTCTTGCAAGGGACTTGACCTTGGTAGCCCAATAACAATATTCTGATAAGGGCACCCCTTTTTGGGGTTAGTTACTTTATAAGGGAACCTTGAACCAAAAAAAAGGGAAAAGGGTACCACTGGGCTACCAAGTGACTTGGAGACGCTGGAAGCCTTGTAGCTGCGATTGGTCGACTTGTTGCCGTTGTCTCCGTCCAATTTCGACTCGATGTCTTTGATGGTTTGGGCAACCTCGTCACAGCCCTGTAGAGATAAAAGCACCCAAGCCAGGGCAGGAGGTAGCATGCACTGCGCCACAGCCTTGATCTGCCACATCCTCCGGATAGGATGCTTTGCCTTGGCTGCTGGACGTCCTGCTACTCAACGCTTGTAGCAGACGCTAGCACTTTTGCAGTGGCTCTGCAAACAAACATGCCAAGGTGCTGTACGTTGCCAGCGGACTTCGAGGGAAGCCGAGTTGCTTGAGTCTGTACTGTGCTGCGAACAGAGCATTCAAGGTGCCTGCCCCCCTAATGAACCATCACTCGCCGCAAGAGCTCATCCCAGGCCCTCAAATATACGACACAGGATACGATGCCGGAAGAAGCCTTCCGCCTTGTCTAGACGCTGAACAAGAACAGACCATGCAACTTCCATGCAGCCTCAGAGATGAAATTTACAAGGCTGGTGCTCTATACTGGCCACAGGTGGAGGTATCCGAAATTAGGGGTACCTTACTCGGGGTCCTTGTTTTAAGGGCATCCTACTACTTGGAGGATATATTAGGGTCCCCCCCGTTTTTTGTAAATCGCAGGAATTGCAAACTTGCAAATCCATTGCGCCCCCACCCCAGAGGCCACTGCATCACGTGCCAGATGGACTCATACACCAGGCAGTGCATTCCAGCACCGGGCCTTTCACGTCCAGTCTGGGGAGGGGGGGGTTCGAGATGCTCGGGTTTTGGGGTTCCGGGAACTCTACAGCGGCCTCTGGCGGAGTATCCTACAACATTGCATTACAGCACCTGCCACCGCGCAACGGCAAAGGCATCAGCCATATGTCTTCTCGTGGGCAAGCGCGGCGAGCGCAGCCACATTGTGTGTTGACTCAAGTCTTGCTGGTAGTCATGCATCCTGTGTACCGGAAAATCAGAAGCAGCGGGAGTGCCTCACGCGCTCGCAGCCAGCGGGTAATGGATCGTCCATGGCCTGATGGGGCTTCTGGGGGTTCTGCCAGGACAGGCTGGCTGGACGTATTTATTGTGGCTTCTAGGGAATACGTACATAAATATAATTGAATAAACATAAATAGATATGTAGATATATATATATATTTTTATATATATATATATAGGAATACCCCGAAGTACACCTAGTCTGTCTAGGTAGGCATTAGAGTTTCATGATCCTGGGACATCTGATTGCCTTCTCGGGACTCTCGGTGTGGCGAGGGATGAGCCGCATAGCCACAAGCCCTAAATAAACAAATTCGTGAAAAAATGAACATATGTATATATGTACACATCACCATAAGCCCTAGTTTACATATATCCATACATATATACCTCTATATATATACACACCTCTCCATTCACATTTGTGTATTCTATTGCTATTCGTACAGAACCGAAACTTAACCTAAATCGTACATGGCCATAGCTCCAGAGACCCAAAGTTCAAAAGAACGGGGATCTTGGGGGGGGGGGGGGTTTGGGGGTGGGGGGGGGGTTTGGGGGGGGGGGGGGGGTGGGGTTGGGGGGGGGGGGGGTTGGGGGTAGGGGGGGGGGGGGGTTGGGCGGGGGGGGGGGGTTTGGGGGGGGGGCATCGTGTGTGTTTTTCCAGATACCCCCCAATCGTTGGCTCAAGTGGCTTTACAGTCTATAGACCTTGCCTAGCATATGCCCTTACAACGAGGCATTTGCTGGGTTGCTTCGGTAAAGTCAATTTCCCGAAAGGAAACATGTTGTTGCTGGTCTACATCTTCGGCACTTCTTGATACACCAAACTAAGCAAAGTATGCGCGAATAGAGACCCATGCCTCAAAAACAATGCCAAGCTCAGATCAGCACCCATTTAGGTTGCTCCACGTGATGTTTAGACCCGAAGCCCGAAACCCGAATTCCTAAACCCCAAAACGTTCCCCAGCTGCACAAGAAGCTCTCCAACCGCCAACCGCCTGCAGTGCCCGCGACCAAAGGTGCCCTGGGGCCAGCAATGTGTCCTGCCAAGCAGGTCTACCCAAAGGCTGCTAATGTAGCTACTTTTTGGGTTAGTTATGGCGAATCCTACTGTAGCATACTACCCAAACAAGGTACGACGCAAGAGCCTTTACTTTTAGGGTTTAGCGGAAGTAGAAGGGTTTGAGCTTGCTGGGGTTCTAGGGCCCTCGCCCCAAAGCGACCAAGCTCCCCCTACGCCTGAAACCCTAAACCCTAAACGCTAAACCCTAAACCCTAAACTCTGCAGTAAACTCTGCGGTGGCAGACGATCCTTCCTCACCAAGAACTGGGCACCTCGGCGTTTGGGGATATTGGGGTTTCGGTTTTTTGGGGCTTGCCCTAAACCTTACATTGGTTTTTGGGGCTTTGGATTTTAGGCTCCCGTTGGCTCACTTCATGAGCATGAGGGATTTAGGGTTTAGGGTTTAGGGTTTAGGATTTAGGGTTTAGGGTTCAGGGTTCAGGGATGACAACAACAAAACACGACTTCCCTCGAAACGGCCGCTTGCAGTGACCTGCAGCACGTCCCTGGGCACTGCAAGCCCAGGGCATCCGTGCATCTGCCATCTACTACTTACATACCAGGTTGGCCGTGAAACGCTATGGAAAACATTCCGAAACACGACCCTCTAAAACCAGGCAAATCAACAACATAGCCCACCAGCCCCAGGGACTACCCAATCTAGGATGGCCTTTAGTTAAAAATCCCTCTGGAAATGTTCCTGGATATGATCCTCTTAAACCCAAGCAGGGAAAATTTATAAAATGTCCTTGGGGCCTAGTGAGTAATAGTACATCCCTGCTCCACATAGCCTTTGCTCACAGGTGGTCCGCAATGGTAGCAGTTCCTAGGCCCACGACAGCAGTAGCCCGACGCCACAGACTCCTGCTTGCGGCCTATGACCTGCTGACTTCACGAAAGGATGCCAACAACACGACTTAGAGTTTAGGGTTTAGGGTTTAGGTTTTAGGTTCAGGGTTCAAGGTTTAGGGTTATGCAGCGCAGAGCGACTTCCATTGTGGCTGCAAGAAGCCTGCTCGAAGATCGCACGTTTGCAGGAGGATGTGGATGACACCTGAAATTATCCAGGGGGTGGCGGGTGGCTTCAGGAGAAGCAGCCCAGCACAAGGCACATACGGTGTGATGTTCATAAGCATCAACAGCGACAAACAAACGACGGCGAAGGCTTCTACCTCAGGTCCGCCGTGCCATTAAACCCACAACAATGAATATACATGTGTATATATATATAAATAAATGTATCTGTATATATATATATATATGTATAATATATGCATATATGCCAGTCTCTTTATTACTTCACTAATTATCTTACATTACGCTAGAGTATATCATGTATATTTAAGAGTTGGGGGTTAAGGCTCCACTGTATGAGTCCTTGATTGCGCCAAGGTGATACAGTACCCACCGGCATCCTCAAGCAAACCCGCAAGTGAGGGAGTGAATGGGGTGAGTGCTCTTCCGAGTTCTTGAGGCTTGAACTACGCGGTTTGGGTGTGTATGTGGTGTGCCCGTTTACCCAAAGGCTCCTAAGGTAGCTCCCTTTTGGGTTAGTTACAGGGGACCCTGACCCTATACCCTGAACCCTGAACCCTCCCTGAGCTGCTATAGTATACTACCCCCCCAAGAAAAGGTCCGCATTTAGGGAAAACCGACGTGGCAACAACCGCGCCGCACCCTAAACCCTGAACCCCGAAGCCTAAACCCTAACCCTAAAACCTAAACCCTATACCCTAAACCCTAAACCCTACACCCTAAACCCTAAACCCTCGGCTGCCAAAGGCCAAGCTCAAAGCTGCGTCTGAGTCACCGGGCCATGCGTGACTGCCCGAGGTGCAAGAAGGGAACGTCCAGGGTGCGCAACTGACACTGAAGTTTAGGGTTTAGGGTTTAGGATTTAGGGTCAAGGTTTAGGGTTTAGGCAAGAAAGTTCAGAATCCCCACCAGGAATCTGAGTATAAAAATACTGGGGGGGGCAAGGGGGGGTTGAAAAGGGGGGGCAAGGGGGGGTTGATTGAGTTCCACTGAAGCACAAAGACTGCTCAGTCGCGAGGACTCAACAGAGTGTTACGGCTTCGTTATTTTTGCAGGAGTTTTGGCTCATCGGGCTTCGGGGTACTCATCCACTCTGGGAGTTACTAAACCCTAAACCCTAAACCCTAAAACCTAAACCCTAACCACTAAACCCTAAACCCTACACTTATGAGATGATTAGGAAGCTACAGACTGGAAATCTCAAATTAATTATTTTGCATTTATTTTGTGTTTTGGCTGCGTTTTTTCTGCATCTCAGTTTTGCGCTTTTTTGCGTCTCGTATTTTGGGTTGCGTTTGTTTTGTGTTTGTGCTGCGTTTTGTTTGCGTTTGTGTTGTGTGTGTTTTCTGCGTTTGTTTTGTGACATTTTTGTGTGTTTTGTGCGTCTTGGGAGAGGGAGGGGGGTAAGCAGAAATGCTAAAACATGCCAAACACAGTGTGTTCTGCGTTGTTTTTTGCGTTTTGTTTGCGCTTGTTTTGCGTTTGCTTTGCGTTTATTTTGCGTTTTGTTTGCGTCTCAGGCTAAGGGGGCGAGGAAGGCACCCCCCAAGACGCAAAAAGTACACAACAAATCTGCAACCCGAGACTGCCCCAAAATCCGAGACACAAAACCGGGACGCAAAAAACACACACACAGAAAATGCAAAAATGAATCATTGGGGACCCCTGCCCTGTGGCTCTAATCATCTCATAACCCTAAACCCTAAACCCTAAACCCTAACCCCTAAACCCTAAACCCTAAACCCTAAACCCTAAACCGACCGTCGCCAGTTGCTCACATTGTCACGTGAGCAAACGACGGGGTCAAGCTGCACGTAACAAGAGCCCAGCTATAACACCAAAACAACTATACTGTATACCTCGTGAAACCTGCTTGAATTCAAACAGGACCACAGACAGAAACCTTCAAAAAACAAAACCAAACTAAGAAGAAACACGCAACTGATAAACCCATGCCCCTAATCCCTGTCCGACACCCCCCAGCCTGCAAAGCCCGCATCACCACATGCAGAAACTGGGGCCGGACGTGGTTCAGTGCATCAGCCTGTGGGTGTGGGCTCT